GCCATTTAGTTGCGAACCAACAACAGAAATAGTCCTATGGGAATTTTAATACATTATGCAAAAGTTTTCAATCCATTTTGTCTCTTCTGCGTCCTGATTTTGATTCAAACCGGAATCGACCCGATCGGGTAGTCTCGAAATCAAATGGGTTTCTGAGCGAGACGATGAACCTGATTCCTACATGAGTTAAATCAACCATTGTTCCGATTAGAAATGTCAAAAGTTTCCGATCAAATTCAAATTCAAATTCAAAATTCAAATTCAAAATAATCTTTATTTCATAGGTAAGCATTATTACACTTGAAATCGTCACAATGGTTAAACTCTACCGCTCATTCGTAAGGCAGATTCCCCTGAGAAGAATGAGCAAGAAACTCTAGGGGTTGCTCTTTGTAAATAACATTTACAATATTTTTTTTATTTGGAACATCAGAGATCGAGACTACCTCCATGAGCTAAACGGGTTACTACCACGGATTTTTGTCATCCAAGTACGCAGAAGTTGTATAATAACCTTTAGTATAAAGTTTTTGTTTCACTATAGTTTTAAACCTCGTGAAAGGCAAATTTTGTATATCAACCGGAATCTTGTTATAGAAGCGTATACATTGCCCCTTAAATGATTTTTTGACTTTGTGAAGACGACTATCAAGAAAAGCTAGTTTATTTCTATTCCTCGTATTAATGTTATGTCTGTCACTATTTTTCATAAATAAATTACTATTCCTTTTAACATAAATTACATTTTCATAAATGTACTGTGAGGCTAGTGTAAGAATATTAATTTCCTTAAACTTATCTCTCAAAGATACTTTGGGGCCCAGATTATAAATTGCCCTAACTGCACGTTTCTGCAGGACAAAGATTCTATTGATATCGGCGGCATTAGAATCGGCCAGTTGTGAATCGCAATTATGCGCCTCGACTCGGAAAAGACGCAGTTTCCGATCGGGAGAGGCAATCAATATCAAGCTGCTGATCATTTTTATTCCCATTTCATTTTTCTTTCGTAGCCTTTTACGTTGGCTTGAAGTACTTAGTTTTTCTTTTCTTGATCTCAAGTGATGACCAAATTGTGCGCCTGATTGAAAGCAACATGCCTGTGACAAGCCCCATGTGCTTGTTATTTCACCAGCACCCTTACCAGCATTGCCAATATGTGAGGAATTTCAAATCGTTTGAGCTTGATTGGTGTTTTTGTGGGGATTGGGGTATTTGGGGCCAATGCGGGCATTCTAGCATAGCGTCAATAGAGCCAATCGAACCAAACCCACATAGCGCCAATCCCCACAAAGGCCCCAATCGAGTTCAAGTGAATTGAAATTCTGTTACCTACACTCACATTACTGGTTGGCTGCAGAAGTAGGCGCTCCTTCACAAGTAGCTTTACTGCCCTAAAACAATAATTTAAGAGCTCTGAAATGTGCTGAGTACCTTAGAATAATAACGCATAGAAACCTAGTCCGCACAAGCTAAGTGAGGCAAATTGAAGCGCGCCAAAAGAGCCTACACGAGCGGGCGGGCCTTCAGTGCTCAAGGTCAACTTGCACCGCGAACAGATCAAGAATTTTAGCCAAAAATTACGAAATGTGCAGTAAATGAGTGTAAAAATACGTCAGACAAACATAAAATAGATACTAACGTCACATTCCACAAGGAAGTAACGCGTTTCAACTTGTATTTTTATATAAATATTCACCAAAACCGAAAATTAACCTACTACTAAAACTAGCCTACATGAATTTGATTTTTGCCTCACTTGTGACAGTTCGTTTGATATGAAACTATCATTCTATGCGTTATTATTCTAAGCTGAGTACCTCTAAAGACGATTGTTTTCTGTAAATTTCTGTAATTGTAAATTAAGTCGTTTATTTGTTTTCGTCAATTCAACCATCCAGTATATAACCAGAAATAGAGAAGAAATAAGGGCCATCCATCCATGGTAAGTCATCAGGCAATTGTCCCTTATATCACTTTTAAATATCATCTCTCGTTTGCACTGCAATCACAAATTAGAAAACTGAAAGTACAGCGCCAACAACTGACCTGTGTGTACGCACTATAAGTTTCCGGAATGAATAAAAAAAAAAATACTAGGTATAAATGGTCAGAAATGTATTTATTGTTTCTCAAAATATTCTCTGTTAGCGTTAATGCGCTTTTTCATGCGAATGAACCAATATTGAAAACATTTATGCCACTCCTCCGTTACAATCTCAGAACCGTTTCAATCTTCGACAGCCTCTTCAGGTGATGAAAATCGTTGACCGCGTAACTGGTTCTTAATTTTTGGAAATAAATAAAAATCACAAGGTGCCAGGTCGGGACTGTACGCGGGATGGCTCATAAGGTCAACGTTGTTCAAAAATTCATTTGTCTGTCTGGCCGTGTGAGAACTGGCATTATCGTATAGTCCATTAGAGCAAAGCTCAAGTTAAAGTGGTTGGTTTGAAGTGAAACAATGGACGACTCCCGTCAATTGTTTCAAATTCGGGCTGGCCAATCGGAGCGCAGTTGTCACTGTAATAATTTGGTAGAATAGTTTTCAAACAAATTAAATGACATTTCGTCTCTATTTCTGGTTATATATTCGATGATTTCAGCAGAAAACATTATTTAACTTTTTAATTAAGTAATAAGGAAATGAAGTTGGTGTTAAAACTTAAGTCCCCTGTCGTTTTAGTCTTAAGAATTAGATTTAAGTGTGTTTATTGACTCAATTTAATGAAGAACCGCTTTTTCTTTCTTTTGTTTTTGATGAAAAAAAACAAAATTTGGAAAAGGATTTCGATGATTCTTTGTTAAATAGAGGGTACCTTAATAGTGGTCCCACTCAAATTTGAAGGGGCAAATTGGGGGATGAATTCCGTTTATTGGATTTCACCCACTTATCGAACGAATCTACGATAAACATAAAAATTTTTAATTAGTATTTTTGGCTTGGATATAAGTCTTTTGAGCCACGTCTTCAATTAGTTTTCGAGAACATAATTAAATATTTTCCATTATATTTTTAATGTACACACGCCAGCACATCCAGCTACACATTGATGTATCTTGTTCCGTTGTAATGGAGGCGATTTTCGAACAAAACTGTGTAGTCTGATGTGCAGTTGTCCGTACTTGTGCAAAAAAAACTTCGGGTTGTTTAAATAGTCTTTTAAGCGGCGGGAGTCATTTCATTATTCATGTTTTCACTTTTACTTAAATCATTTAGTTCACTTGCTAATAAAAGGCTTTGAATTTTGAACACGGCTTAGCAGACATTTCTTCTTGTATGCTTCCATACCATTTTACCTTATATATTTTGATCCTTCTTCCAGAAACTTCTTGACAATGTTGCCATATCATTGCATAAATCCGTATAACAATCGGTAATTGGTACCTACCGGTACAACACAATATTAAAAAACTTTTAGCGCCCTTTCCACAGTTTCTTCCGTGGTCCTTTCCTTAGAGGATGGAAAAAAATAAAGGAATAGTCTAAGGGTCTTTCTCTTCCAATTCCCGCCGTTTCCACATTTCAAAATACTTTACATAGATTCAAATTCATTATTAAAAATAAAAAAAAAGAATCTACGAAACCTCTTTGATTTGAAATAAGGAATCATTTTCTTTGGTATGTATTTCATGTAAATACACGCTGTATGTCTAAACATGATACATAAAATTTACTGTAACAAGTAACTAGATGACTGTTAATATGAGTCAATATTGTTTTGTATGTATATACGTACATCCATCAAGCTGACTATAAATTCTACGTTTCATCGCCATTTTTGCATTCTCTGATTTCCTGCTAACGAGGTAAGTTGGTTTTGGCTGCATTCAGTTAAAAAATAATTTATATTCTGGTGGGACAAGAGGAATATACTTTATTAACCGACTTCGAAAAAAGAGGGAGGTTCTCAATTCTACCGTTTTTTTATGTATGCGCGATACCTCCGATTTGTGAACCGTATTTTAATTATTCTTTTTTGTTGGAAAGAGGTTACCCGAGTCAATACTCACGGACCCAATGTCCCATTTAAATTTAAAGAAGATATTCCACTAAGGGTACTTTCCGGTAGCTGATTTCAACAAAACTTTGCAAATAGATGTCATTCCACGAACTTTTGAGGTCGGTATTTTTACTACTTTAGGCCATTTCAGTTTTTCCACTCTCAATAGGATCCAAGATGCAAATTTATTATGGCACTACATAAGTGCTGTAAGCCATTACAGTTTTTCTTTAGAGGATGAAAAAAAAGAGTTTTTCTGTTAAAAAGGGTGCAAGTTGCATTTTTATAGCACTAGATATGAGTACTTTAAACCATTTCAGTTTTTATACTTTCTTAAAAGGAAACAAAGACGGTAGAAAAATCAAAAGGAAATAAAAATTATCAAAAGAGACAAATACATGGATATTTGCATCATTTATTATAATTCCTTCATTCCAACGGCAAAAGTTCAACTGGCGTTTCGCTTTTTTTTATTATTCAAAAAGGCATAAGTATTACATATTTATTTTTAACCTACTTCAAAAAAAGCGGAGGTTCTCAATTCGACTGTATGTTTTTTTTGTATTTACGTTACGCGATAACTCCAGTATTTGTGAACCGATTTTCGTGATTCTTTTTTATTGGAAAGGGGGTAACTTCCATTCTATTTTGGTTTTCCCATTTTATTTTGAAGAAAATCATCCACCTCCAAGGGTGGCTGTTCACTCATGAACTTTCATTTTTATAAATAGCGCCTAAATTTTATTATATGGAGCAATTATTTTAATGGTTTATTTTGCTATTCTCCAATTCAAGGCGTTATTCTCTCAATATACTTTTAGTGAGGACCGATTTTTATTATCTCCTGTATCAAGTCCCGTATAGTGGCGAACTAGGGGATGAATTCGGGTTTGCGCACTTTCCAGTAACCGATTTCAATAAAACTTGGTAATTATATGTGATTCCACGTATACTGAAAATATTAATTTTCATAACACCAATTTAATTTCTATAACTTAACAGATTTGAAACAAAATGGGCGCCGCAACGAAGAGCTTCCTTTGTTTGGCTGTGTTCCTAATTTCAAGTAAGTTTTTCGTTTTTTATTTTATGTAGAAAATCAAAGTAAGTTTAACAAAATTTTATTAAAAGGAGTATGCCTAAAAACAAACGCGATCACATTTCATAGCAAGGCTAGCAATCAGTACATAGTTGCAAAATCAATGCGTTTGTACTTTTAATATAATAATAAAAAATATTTCTTTTTTCAGGCAATGCTCAACCAGTAAAAGAGCAATTGACAATAGAAGAAGTTACGCCTCTGATATTATTCAGGGAGTCAAAACCACTACAGCTCCAGCCCGAATGTCGTATTGCTTCCAGCTCTTCAAAAGTTGAGTAAGTCGTGCTTTGGTTATATTATATTGAGTTGAATTTTTATAATGCACACAATATCACGCACTTCGTGTAATAAAGCTACATCTGCAAAATGACAACGTTTCGAAAGAGGTTTAATGATTCTTCCAATGAAATTATATGAATAAATAAATAGATATCGCACACACTCATAGCCTCGCACTAGAGAAACCCTGTGTCGCGGGTGCTATGTAAACGCGCATAGACTACCACAAATTTCATCCAAACTCACGAGAGAAACAAATGCAGGTTATAAGTACAAACATTTCTCCCGACGGTACGCGGCGTGCGTGCACACATAAAAGTCGCACTGCTACGTTTCTATGGAGTTACCATACTTCTTATTATACTATATCCGTAGTCTCTACCCACCGGGGTGGAAGACAGGCGTGATGTTACGTATGATTTATTTTCAGATTCACCTGGCAAAAGGACGGCAAGCCTTTGAAATACCAACCAACTGCAGAAGGTCTTGTGATCCCCAAACCCAGCGCAGAAGACGAGGGACAATACCAATGTTTTGCCAAAACCAGTCTAGGCACTGCTACCTCCGGCATTATCAGTCTTCGTAGAACTTATCTTAACATTCCTTCTAAAGTTATCAAAGCCAAATATACACCTGAAGAAGGCAAACCCTTTAAGCTGGACTGCCCAATCCCAGAAGCACATCCGAAACCTGCAATCTTGTGGACTTACGAAGTTACTACTCCAAGAATCACAACAGGTCCAGATGGTGCTTTGTATTTCTCTAACGTGACTAAAGAAGATGCGAACAATACGAAATATGTTTGCGATACGGTATCTCCGGCTTATGATCACCGAATTAACTTGTACGAATACGAGCTTGAAGGTATCAAAGAGAACAAGGAAAAGAGTGGTGGGCTGGTACCCCAGTTTTTAAGTCAGGAAATGACTGTAGAAGCTGGACTTCCTGCTATGCTCTACTGCATTTACGGTGGCACGTAAGTACTTTCTGTTTTATTAACCGACTTCAAAAAGGAGGAGGTTCTTAATTCGACTGCATTTTTTGTATGTTCCGCGATAAATCCGGAATCGATGAATCGATTTTGATTAGGAATGATCACATTAAAATATGAAGAAAATAATCCGATGTTAGTAATAAAGTTCCGCGAGATTGTCAGTATGTTATATACTCCCGGTCACATAATTACACCTCGCATTTGTGTCGTAAAGGGTTAGAATATAAAAATGATATTATCATCGAAGTTTTCCCCCGGTTTTGGAAATACAAATTCAATTTCAAATTTGTTCAATTTTCAATTCAAGGACTTATGGAAAAGACGTTTAGTATACTAGTTTCAAAATTGCATAATAGTTTTTGATCAATCAAACATTGTTTAAGTTTAGGGCACTTCATTCTGAAAATGCATGATGGCTCAAATTATATGTCCGGAAGTGTATAATCTTAGGGCCCTAATTTTAATTGGAATCGGAATCGATCAGGTAACCCATCCGCAATATTATTAGTTTACGATCGGGAGAAGCAATCAAAATCAAGCAAAACCGACCTCAAAAGTTTATTAAAGTAAATTTATCCCCTAGTTGGAGGTGGAGAAAATTCTCCACCCTTAGAGATGGAGCATTTTCTCTTTTCAACAATACAAGAATCATCAAAATCGATTCACAAATGCCGGAGATATCGCGTAATATAAAAAGAAAAGAAAAAAGAAAATGGACGACACCGGAAAGCGATTTTTTTTTTAATTTATTGAGGCTTTGGCTAAGTCGTGTCGTCAGCATAAACATGAATTAATATAATCATTACACAGTTTTAAATGTAATTTTATTAAAAGACTAATTAAAGTCTGAAAGTTAAAAAAAAAAGAAATTAAATATAAACAACTTAAGGTAGTGGAACCAATCATGGACGGTTTAAGGGTTTATATTTAGTTTTAGTCTTTTAATTTTGGATGAGTTATCCTGTGGAACTCGAGGAAAGGTTTAATTGATTAAAAAGTCTTCAAATAACGATTGAAAGTGATTTAATCATATCAAAAACATTGTTACTCGAGAAAAAGTAGACCCTGTTTGAATATCCTTATATGGACAGGCCAATTTCCAGTCATGGACACCCCATCATGGACGGTTTCCACTCATGGACACCTAGACATGAAAGATCAACTATTTAGCCAAATTAACAAATTTAATCTTAAAAAACGAGATCATCCTTGGTATTTAAACGAATGGTGTGACGTTTCATATAACCCATTTGTGATTGGTAACAATGGGTGGTCATTCGCTTCAGTGCCATGTCTAAAAAAATCAAATCCAGTAATGGACGACCAGTGACGGACACTGTTTCCAAGTCTGGCTTTATAAAGACGGTAAACACAAGTACCTAAAGCTCTTTAATGATAAAATCCGATTATGGACAATAATTTCCACGATTGGTTAAATAGATAAATGAGATCCAGCAATAAACACTTCAAATTTTCCAATAGACGTTATGTTATTCTTTTATGTTTTGTTTAGATGCAATTAAAACAATACCAAAACACAAAATAACCACAGAAGTCACCACTCTTAAATACCACATTCAAATATGGCGCGTGAGGCGCGGTCCTTTTAAGAAATCCGTTTTATTTTAAATTTGTTATCACCGTCTTATTTCGCACCGTGACAATGGCGAATAAAGATGGCCGCCAGCTGTTAAAATTTAACTGATGTCTTCCATTTTCATCAAAAATGATAAAAAATGTTGAAAGTGAAAAAAATAATTAGCGTTTCCGTTGTTTGGGGGTATAGTTCAAAAATGTTCATGATTGGTCTGTTCATCATCGGTTCCACAACCTTACACTATTTTATTAAATTATTATATAAACTTGTATGTTTTAAAAGCTCCTGTACAGTACTGGGAATTGTTTTATACTTTTTAAATGTTAAATATGTTTTTTTAATTGCGTGTCACAGCTCTAATCAAATTAGTCTTCTCTGTAATTGATAATTTCAATTTTAACGTTTATACTACAGACCTCTTGCGTATCCCGACTGGTTTTTCGAAGGCAAAAATGTAAACGGCAAGCCCGGTGACCGTGTCACCCGCCACAATCGCACTGGAGGCAAAAGACTGCTGATCAAGAACGCCTTACTTAGTGACCAAGGCACCTATACCTGCGAAGCCAACAACGAGATCGACAGACCTCAGAGGCATACAATTAAGCTGAATGTTGTCGGTAGGTTTTTTTTAAAATAACGAATACAACATAAAAAAACAACTATACAACATGAACAACAACATCACATTCGTTTCTCTAGTCTTAAAGTAAGCAATTAGAGCACTTGTGTTATGTAAATCGGAAACAACGAACGGTACTATACAATACAAACACTCAGGCAATGAACACTGTTTTTAAACTTGGTTCGAACTAGAGTTGCAACGAATATTCAGTTACTATTCGATATATCGACTGTGAACTGGCAATCGGTACTATCTCAATTATGACAACTTAACAGGATGAAGAAATAAAATTGTTGGCATCATTTATATTACATCAGGTTTATTAAATAAAAATACGTAGTGTTTAGATATTTTTATTACACATGTATGTATGTACACTACGTATTTCTATTTAATAAACCAGATGCTACATAGGTAATAGTAGATTGTACAACAAGTGCATAAAACGCGTCATTTTGAAATGGGTCTTATGAACGAGTTATACACTCTGCTTTTCATTTCCATTGCGAGAAAATTCAACAGCAATATTACAAATAAACGATTATTTAATTAAAATTGAATGTAAAATTACAACGTTTAGATATATTCATTGTGATGGTTTAGGATTTTATTTTATGAACTAGAGTATAAAATCCTATTTTATGCACTAGAGCATAAAACCCTATTTTATGCAGCCTACACCCAGCATAAATACGAACTTTAAGAGCATAGAAGTGAAAATGATTTTTTCTTCACCTGTAAAGTTGTCAAATTTGAGATAGTACCGGTTGCCAGTTCACAGTCGATATGGTCCATTTGGTCTACTTTTTAATCTACTAGTTTGTTATAATTATTAATACAAAGATCGAAGACTAAGAAAAACTCCTTCGATCCGGCTAGACTCGAACCAGCGCCTTCAGCATACCGTACCTGACGCTCTCCCAACTAAGATACGAAACGAACCGGCAGACCGTACAAATTTTTCTATAAAAACACACGCACACATTCCATTGATACACACCTAGTCACCCACAAATTACACCCAAACTCAAGCATGGTGGCCACAGAGGCAGTATAAGCTTGTTGTCTTTACGGTCCCATTATTTACTTCATTAATTTATGCTTTTGTATTTACAGCTGCACCAATGTACCTGAAGAAGCCAGAATCTGTCATCTCTGCTCCAGCTGGCCAGGATATCATTGTTAACTGCGAGGTAGAAGGTCGACCAGCACCACAGATCTCATGGACCTACAATGCACAGCCTCTAAAGGAGAGTGACATAATATCCATCAGCAATGGTCCCTCAGAAGAGACCAGAACCGCCGCGAAGTTAACAATCAAGAAAGCTCAAAAAAGCAACATTGGTTACTACGGCTGTAGAACTGAAAATGAACATGGTGTATCATACGCTGAGAGCCTAATAGTTATTTCTTAAAGCCACCATAAAAAAGTACAATGAAATTTGTACCTTAAGTACATTATTTACAAAATGATCAAATTATATCTTGTGTACACGTAAAGTATAAGTTTATTTTTAATGGTTTTATTTCTGAATCTTTGAAATAAAAATGTTATGTGAAATTTAATTCGTACCATTTCGTTTTATCGCAATTACTTCCCTAATAATATGTCATGAAGGCAATTCATGCACAATATCGTATTACACTCTTTGATATCAACATACCGTAGGTAAATACAACAATAACAACAATGCACACATTCATAGCCCCGCACTAGAGAAACATTATGTAGTAGGCACCATAGACACACATATAGACAACCACAAAAATTAAACCCAAACCCACGATAGAAGTAAATGTGGCTCATACAAATATTTCTCCTGGCCCGACAATCGAGCCCGAAACCTCTGAGCGGCAGTTCAACATGGCACCCGTTCGGCCACAGAGGCAGATATGATATTGTGGTTCTTTTGTACAGTCAAAAATACACCAAGGCTTTGGACCGTTCTTGACATGTTCTTAACCCTGAATGCAAAATTCAAAATAATGTAATTCTCAGACCACAAAACCGCATACAACAACTCTTTTTTAATATATGATAACCCCACGGGTATTTCGAAACGGAGAGAAAGTACTTTATTTTGCTGGACACCCTGTATATTTCTGAATACAATTTTTAATTTCACCAATAATTAATAAGTTTCTAGAAGGCCCATGTTATTATTTAGAAATTGCAAACAGACAGACACGATTTATACAATATCATTTACATTTTAAATAAATTGTTCTACGAATCTGTAAGTCATCATTGCAATATATCAACAACAAAGTAGACTGTATAGACTATGGTTTTTTGCCGCTCCTAATAAAAAAACTGAACGAAAATTGTTCGTGATCTTGACATTTGACAACGCGTATAACCTAAAATTACGTGAAAAAATCAAAACAAAGTTGGAAAAACATAGAAAACAATGTTATTTTTATATTTGTTAAGCTTTTTATCCATGGTCGTACAGGCCATTTTCATTACACTAGCTATAGGTAAGTAAAACTAGTGAGAAATCTATTTTATGCGCTTTTTACAAATAACATAATTTCAGTTGCGTAAAAAAACTGTTAATTGGCCCTTGTATTATAGCAAGTAAATTACTTATTAAATTCTTGTACTGTTACATAACAGATAATTCATTTAAAAAAAGAAAAGAATAATGGCGAACTCCCATATAAAATTTTGTTGACATAATTTATATGCGTTTATGGAAAATACGTGAAAATATAGATTTTAAATTCCTGAACAAATTTCGTTTTGGGTTTACTATTCTGAGAAGTCGAAATAAACATTTGGAGTTAAAAGTTGGAGAATAAAACGAGGAGAAAGTTTTGGAGGATATATTTTACATAAATTGAATATAAAATATCGCTGTTATACTGGGAAAAACAATTATTTCACAAAATATCGACTTTGAAATAAATGCAATTAAAATTTCACTGTGTCAAAAATTGTTTTATTTTCACAAATGTCATCCCACGTTAATTTGTAACGGATGATTCTACATTTTATGTTTTACTGAAATTTTAAAATGTTTGCATTTTACAGCAATTTTGTCGCGTTATCCTAAATTAAGTAATTTTCTGTGTAAATTCCAGATAATTGGTTTTCGTAGTATAACGACGATATATTCAGTGTATTAATAATACATCAAGTATACAACCAGAAATAGAGACGAAATAAGGGCCATCCATCCCGGACAACTCATCAGGCAAATGGGCCTTGTATCAATTTTAAATATCAGCTCTCATTTGCGCTGAAATCACAAATTAGATTAATGAAGTACTACTACAGCGCTAGCAACTGACCTGTGTATCTGCCTCTGTATATTCCAAAAATATTCTGTATTTTATTGTTACAAAGATAGTATTTCTAACTATGGGGAGGCAGTTCCATTCGGGAAAAACAGCAAAACATCTAATTACAAAACAAATGGAATCACATTTCATTGGTAATTAAATATCAAATATGTAATTTTTCAATTTCCGTCCATTATAGCAAAGCTCAAGTTAAACTAGTCAACAATTGATGACACCTGTCAATTTCGAATTCGGGCTGGCCAATCGGAGCACAGTTGTCACCAAACTGATTTGGTATTTTTCAAACAATTTCAATGACATTTCATATCTAATTCTGGTTATGCACTCTATGTAATAATAATAATAAAGCCTCATTTACTCCCTTACTACATAGATGCATATTATATATAAATTGCCTAATTGAATAATTCTACATAAAATAATAATAGCATTAATAATGAAAAATTAATTGATTGAATAGAATTTTATGTTTAATAATAATTATAACACATTATTAGGGACCTCTCTTTGAGTAAAGGCCTCCTCCATTTTACTCCACAGTTTTCTGTCTTATGCCTTGCTCATCCACTCATTGCGTGTAATTTTATTTCAAAATAAATTATAGAAGCCTTAAACTGAGTAAATAGAAGCCGAATGGTGGCATGGGTTTATGACACAACGAAAGTTCAGAGGAAATTATTTTATATCATGGTATGGTCAAAAAGCATGAAGCATGAAGCCATGAAAAAACAAAAACTGAGTTCATATACTCGGATACAAATTTTTTTTTTTTTTTGTGAAACGTGCCATCTATCCCTGACGTCGGGAACTTTTTCCAGTCAGTTTTACCACTTTTTCACATGACAGATTTTGAGAAAGAATTATCTACTTTATTTTTTTTAATAAATTTATTGCAAACTGGTTGAATCAGTACATTTCATATTACGTGAACTAACTTAATGTGGACCTATATATACGCAGGTACAGAAAAGCTTTTTTTTAACAGCTACAGTATGCATACTATGATGACCATTTTGACAGATTACAAAAGTGAGGCCAAATCTCAATTAATTATTGGAGAAATTATAAACAAATGCGAGTCACATCTTTAAATTTTTAGATTTATAACTAGTATAGCAAGGGGTAGCTCATTAAAAAGTTTTAATAAAACGAAAATAAATATGTCGTATACAATTCGAAACTGCTGTGTTTTGCATTGAGCTTTGACGCGAGTTTGCCGGAGGTAGAAGCTGTGCTGGACAGCAATCCCATAAGTGATGATCATAATAGATTTATTTTAAAAAATTTCGAATTTTGTAAAACAAATGCCGCGTTGTGTCCTAGCATTATACACTCCATAAATTTTACTGCACGTCACTCTTGCCAACAATGTACAGCAATCAGCTCCTTCAACGTAGCTACGAATTAATACGAAACTTGATAAGCGGACAAACGTCAATACAGCCATCATAACACTAAGATACTTTAGATGTTGCTCAATGTTAAGAAACTAACAGAGATATCTGTCCGGTTCCTGTGGTCCTGCCTTAGAGGATGGAAAAAATAAAGGAAAGGAGCTGCCCTATCTACGGAATAAACGTCCATACCTAAACCAAAAATGTCCACCACAAATGGCAGATTTCTTTAGTGTTGCACCATAATCATCGATAAGTCAATATCTTCATGCTCGAATGTTATGTAATGTTATGTAGTATGATTAAAGTGCGTAATTAAAGTAGATCAATATTCATTGTCATATGGGAATATCCGGGATGACAGATATGAGATTTTGAATTTATTATTTTGCATTTATAAATGCACACATATTACGAAAAATAATATAAATCAGGAGATCTCTATGCATTTCCAATCTCAAGACTGATATTAGTTTTTTTTTAAAAGGTTTCCATATAGTTTAAGCTATTTTGTATTTATGTATTCATATAGAATTAATATCAGTGATTTTGATTTAGGTGAATCTAACACTTCCATTTAATTTTTGAAATAAATAAAATTACTTATATAATTGTAATAACATTATCGATAATCATAAAATCAGATATAATATTAATAATAGATAAGTTTATTTGCCTAAAACAAGGTATAACAGAAGATGTAGCAAGAGACAGTGTCAGCACATAAACTACCACAACAATAAAAATGTCACAACAAATGGTCACAAGTTACAAATTAGATTTGCCAACAATTATTAAAATCAAGATAAAATTTTACATCTTATTTCCTGTCATAAAAAATATTATTATTCAATCACTTACATAACTTCGTTATAAACAAACATGAGTCTAATAATTTAATCTTCAGTGGTATTTTATTATACATATTAACACACATTTTTAAATTACTTTCTCTGTAATTTTTAAGTTACGATTGAATGTAACGATGTTTGACCACCATGATATTCTATTGTTTTTGTAAAATTACTCCACTAGTTCTTTAAAGACCGGACAGTTGAAAAAAAATTGCTACGATCCGGCTGGATTCGAACCAACGTCTTCCAGTCAACCGTGACAGACTATGCCAACTAAGCCACGGAACGAACAAGCGGGCCTTACGAATTTTTCTAAGTGCTTGTTGCAGATCTTTGTTTTTAGTTTTTCACACTTTTTTACCGTAGCGCCATCTCTCAGAAATCTATTTCTTCACTCATAAAGTGAGGAAAATTAGTAAGTTCCGCTAGTTCGTTCCGGGGCTTAGTTGGCATAGCTTCTGACACGGTTTGCTGCAAGACGTACAGCAAATTGATATACAGCTAGTGCTGCTGTCTACACGCTCGATAAGTTTGAAAAAGAACATTACAAACAGGCATTGTATATGAGTTTTGTGGAGCTGCCCACACGTTGGTTACTGTCAGTTATCATTTACATTGAAACTATATGGATTACGTACAAGTTATTGCAGCTGCTGCTATTTATTATTGTTTATTATTACGTCAGTGCGTCTAATACATTTTATATAATGTTAGAGTTGTCAGTGGGGAAAAATCGGAAACGAGTGTATGGTTTTAAGGAACTGAGAATGCCTAGCAATGTGTCTTGTTTACTCAAAATTAAATATAAAATTACCAATAAATGCGACGATGGAATTGCAATAACATGTAATCCAGTTACATTCAAAGTTCTATTAACATTTGACTCTTCAAAATGGAGCGAACAAACGAAGGTGATAGTTTGATCCAATGTTCATGTACGGCAATCCTATAATTTCCAACTATTATTTCTTTTTTTTTGTAGGTAAATTTAAAAAAATAAAAATAATATTAATGAAATAATAAAAACTTCGTAGTGAATTGTTTTAATAACAGAATATCGATAATATACTGTATATACTGCTTACAAGAACAACACTATCACTAACAATCATCAAGTAACTAACAGGCAATCTAAAGTACCCAAAGCAAAATTCCGCAAGATTAATGAATAAACTACCTACTTAAATGAATCTAATTACATGAGATATTTGGGTTATTGTATGATTTATAGACAAAAAAAACACGTGTCGGTGTAATGTAACATTCCTTCGATTTCCGCTTTTTCTACTGCCGCACCCCTTAATGCCACAGCGACGCATTTTAATCAATACTTAATTGTTCTCATTGTCAATATTTTTGTCCATTTCATAACAATTCATGCGAATACTTCACTAAAACATTTGGCCAGACATTGGTTTTGACATTTGATGTACTTCTCATTGAAAACCGGAAACAGTTATCAAAGGGTACTCCAAAAATGGTAAAATGAGGACAGTTGGCATTTAAGATGACGTTACCATTCTCGATTCCCGTGTTTGACGTAAATCAATGTAGTGCATCTCTTTTGGCTTACGACGGCACGTAGTACTTAAACGAAGACAATAAAATGTTTGTTTTCAACGTCTAAATGCATATACATATATAACGTTTAAGTTATATATGTCAATATATAACATGTTCTTTGGTTTCCATAGTCTAAGGGTCCTGCAGTCATTTGAGTTTCTTTTAAATCTGATTTTATTCAAACTTGCTAAATAATTCTCTTAACAATGATTTCGCCATTGTTCTTTACGTATAGAATGTCGCTTTGTATCTGAATTGATATGATATAATCTATTGCTTTTATTAATTTGTAAATGCCTTTACAGCGGCCGGGTTATATTATTTAGCAGAATTAGTAGAAGAATATACTGTTATAGCGAAGTCTATCATTTCTTGGACAGTTATAGTAAGTAAATTTTAAAAATATATATTATTTTGACAACCTTGATGGTCCGATGATTTACACTACTGGATGAGCAAGACGCGGGTTCGATTCCCGGTAGAGTCAATTTGAGAAATAAACTTTTAATTTCAAGTTTATTCAATATCACAATGCTAGGTATGGTATTTTTGTTAAATTAGTCCACTAGTTTGTTATAATTGTTACGCCTCTTATATAGGCAATCAAACCAACCCTTTCTCTAAACTAAATCAGTGTTACCATGTTACAATTATTGTAGTTACTATTATCGTTTCGTACTTTGTCTTTTTTGAAGACGGAGTAAAATGACAGTTCTTTGCGTAAAAGTGTTGCCCGCTTGCGAACAGCTATTGTCAGTTCAAATCCATTTTCAACAAAAAGTAAACCAACCTGTTTGGTTAAAATTCTATACCAATCACTCAATAAATCGAATAAATAGCACTTTCACGTATATTTCGAAGATTTCGACTTGATATCTCATCACTTTTTCCAACAATATTCATTTGAATAGCACCGTAAAATCGTTTTTGAAAAATGGTAGATCAAAAGTGAGGTTATTTTTCATCTATACTTCTATGACTTGTCTATGGTTGCATAGCGCTGTACGAAAAAAAACATTCGGTCAGTCTAATGAAAAATCCCAAACAGACATAAGACTGCAGTACTAATTAATCTGTTTTAGTTTTTTCTAATTTCTATTAATAATAAATTGAACTTAATAAAAATTCATTCAATAAAATAATTTGTAAAACTTAATATAGCGTAAATATAGCGTAATAAGGTATTTAATTAATAACTATTGTAACTATAGTGAAAAAATAGGGTGGTTTGCATCAATATTAGACATAACTGGTTGAAGACTGTACCACCTCAGTCAACCGTGACCATGGGACCTATAAAGGGCCCGAAATGTCGGTTTGTTTGAAAAAACAAATATACGCGATTTAAATCCGGAAAAATAGTTTCATTTCAGAATCAGAATCAGAATCGTTTATTGTTTGAACTGGTAAAGATGATGTTACATTTAATTTGAGTACAACAGTTCATACCCCTGTCGGGTGTACAATGTTATATTTATATATGATATGGTTACAATTAGTCAATAAAATAAAAATAAATTAAAATTAAAGTACAATTATTCAAATGTCAACAACTTAAACACTATAGGGTAAAATAATTCTATATATTACATAATTATGTTAGTCATAACGTACAATATGTGTAACAATCGCGAAAACCTAAGAACTCGATATTCGGTCATTCAATTAAAGTTTTTGTAATCGATTGGTAAATCAAAAATTTCAATCGCAATCGAACGAGTATCTAAGTGTAAATATTTTAAGGACGATTTAAAATAAAGATTTCGGAAATTATAAATATATGCTTTTATAGGTTATGTATTTTTACTGTTCATGTAAGAAAATCCGTTAGTATGACTCAATTAAACAAATCGATTAATTCAATTAATTAATCGATTTTTAATTTTGCATTACAATTGGCCATCACTGAACTGTCTATGGTCAGGTCAGTGACTTGATTGTTTACTTTTTCTTTAAAATGGATTGAAACGAAGTATAGTGATTGCAGTCGATAAATATTCTATCGACTATCGACGGAATATTGGCCACGCTCAGGGAATAAATAGCCGTACTTGTTTCATTTTAATCATCCTTGACCCATTATTCATTCAGTTACTGAGCACAAGTTCATTTGAATTGTCAATTTTTGTAAATTCATCAGTATTTAGAACTATCTTTAAGAAGAATACAAAGAGGAAACATTTTAAAGGTTTTCTTTTTAATTCTATACAGATTATCAAATCCAGCGTTTCTTGTTAAAGTAGAATAAAAATTTATCTCGATACGAGTAGGCCAACTGTCAAAATAAGAACAAAGAAGGCAATAACGCAATTAACAATCATTAGAACGTCGTAACCTTCACAATTCAGTCATTATTAGCAAAATTTTATCTTTCACAATCTATCGATATATCTACCGACAATAACTACATAACTATTCAATATTTTATGAAAACTGGCATCCCTAAAAATGTCATTTTACTCGGTCATAATCAGACTATAGTTACCATTGACTTACAAATAAATGGACGACGGGTCTAATACAAAAACCACGAAAAAAATGTCCCAAGTCAACCTATTTAAACGTAAAGGAATATGAAAAAGCTAAAACGTTGAATTTAAATTGTAATGTCATCGCAGTATCGCGCTGTCAGTCGAACGAATGAAGACTAAAGCGGAGTTTGACGCTCTGTATACGATTTTAACGCCTTACAAGTTCGGACACTTTTTAGCGCGGACCCGACGTCCATATAATTGTAAGACAATTGATAGTTACATAAAATTCATCGATTGATATTATACTTAACGCAAACTAGGACGATCCCTGTGACACTTCATTTGACGTTTGTCACAGGGATGAGGCAAAGTCCATAGATTTTTAGTGTACTAGATTTTTGAAGCAAAGGTTCTCTCTTATAATTTTATTTTTCTGATGTATTCGGAACAATGTAAAGATATGTGAACTGTTTTGTATTGTATTGAAGGCATAACACACAACTTTAATTCTGCCGCCTTTATTTGAGAGGGCGCATGTGACTTTTTAAATTTGTTACTTATAATGCCATGATCAGTAAAAAAGGCCGAACTGTCAATATTATTAGGTCGATACCTAGGTGGATAAGGTATGAAATTAGTGCAAGAGATAAGTAGATATTTTTTAATTTCATTACCTGCTTTAAACGTTTTCTCGGGTCTGAGTTTTTGTCACAAGCGCCCTTTCAACTACCGGCGGTAGGTTTCAAATGCAATTTCAATTGATATTTTAGTAGATTTTCTAAAAACATTTATCATATCATCAATTTATGGATTTCAAAAAAAGTAATAATTCTAACATGTTAATTCATTGCCTATTATTAAAATTCATACTTTTGTTATGTTTTTTCTCTTTAGTTATAAGATTAGGTAAATTATTCATGAATACAAACAAAAACAACCTTTTGGCATTCAAAAAGAAAAACAAATCAGCATTTGTGACTTACGGATTTTTGTTGTGACGCTCCTGAACTATATTGAATAAAAAATATTGATACTATATTCATCATCATATCAGCCGATCGGACGACACATGCATCGAGACACTATATTGTTATGTTTTATTCACAGGCAACATCTTTAATCCACGTAGGTCTTATAATCTTTGACGATCTGCCCCTCCATCTCAACGTCCTGGGACTCGTCCAGCAATGCCTCCACGGCGTCATGCTAAGAGAATTTCCCGTAGTACGGGTCGCAAGCATGACATTCGTAACGGCATGCCTCAACTTGATATTGCATCATTATTGCGCATTCAAATATTTTGGACAAGTATATTATAGTTTTAGCGAGGTACGTACCCATAGCCACAGTTTCTACCTACACATGGAAAATAAAATGGTAACTTTATCATTATTCAGCAGCAGTAGAGCAAGGAGCTCAAAAATTAATTAAAACCTAATTCTCCTAACGATACGAAACATATCTGGATTTCTTTTAAAAGTTAAGTCAAAATGGACAAAAAGGTCATATAAGATGGCGGATGCCTCAAAATGGCGGATTCTTAGCTGCAGTACAGCTCCCTGTGAAAAAATTCGTCCAGTGGAGTACATAGCAAGCATCAAGCAATCCTCATAACGAACCGTGCCAGACTCTATGCCACGGAGTTAACGAACCTCACGAATTTTTTCCATGTGCTTGTTGCAGATTTTTGTTTTGTTTTTTAACGACTTTTTTGCCGCTTTTTTCCCATCTGTGAGAAATCTATGAAAGTTTTTGTATTAAATGTAATTTCAAGGGACGGGACGAACAAGTCGTGCGCCTGGTGGCAAGTGACACGTCCGTTCGCAAGGATTTGAGAGACGCTGCCACTGCCCCGGTCACCTTAGAAACATAAATAATAATAATTTAAAAAAAATGTTTTATTCGTTCATTTTAAAGGGCATATTACAGGGGCGGATGTTTACATTTAGGCTAGTTAGGGCCTGTGTTAGGAAACATCGCTCTTCTATAGTATTAATAGTAATATTACTCTTATAATATTTTAAGATGATGAAACAGACTACCTTAATATGTACTATAACTGGTGTTACAACTAATACAAATTTCACTAATTACAGTCATTTTTGAGGATTCGCTCTGGGCCTTTTGGAGGGAAAAATGTCGTTTTTATTTTGACTTTCAATTATTTTGTGAAATCTAGTTTAAAGTGGAATAGGATAGTGCTATTGTGCCTTAATCGAAGATTAAAACGCGAAATTATACGAATCTCAAACTAAAATACCCGTATCGGCCCGTTCTAAGGAATCCCGAGCCAATCCAAGCACGCCGCCTCAAATTGCCTATCCTCTTTGTGGCGGCCAAATTTACAGAAACATAATTAAACGAAAACATGGCTCACAGGACTTGTATCCAAGCCAAAATTGTTAATAAAAAAACGTATTTTTTTTACTTTTTAGACTAAAAATAGATTAATCTAATTGTTAGTGTGTGTGAGTGCATATCTTTGAATATTGAATAACAAATGAATGCGGCACTGGGGAGCGCACCGTGACTTTCTACGATATGCGACGTCGTGGCACGTTGCGATGTCGTGTCGTGAATTTTTACGTTGCACGTCGTAGATTTCTACGATACGACGCGTCGTGACGTCGCATGTGTAAGAGCCCTAAGAGTGCTGGTGAAATTACAGGCACATGGGTCTTGTCAACTTATGCCTCAGGGTGACTGGCGCGGTGGCAGTGCAGATAATATTTGTGATTTAAAGCACAGAGTCTCACTGAAATTGTTATAGACGGGTGTGTCCTATCAAAATACCGCTTTCCATTTCGTTCCGCAAAATCGTAAATTGAACGTAAATATTTCAGGTTCTAGCGTACTTCACAATCTGCCTATGGGTGGTACCATTTGCATTATTCGTTTCACTGTCAGCAAATGACTACGTACTGCCCACCACCGGTGAACGGCAACCATTAATAGGTAAGTTATTTATTTAGATTTTTTTTAAATCATCATAGATAAATAAGTATCATGGATCAACACCTTGAGACGACTGTTACACTGAGACAGCGCAGCCGGGTTTTAGTACCTATTGGTACACCAGATGTCGTTACCAGCACTGGATGTTACGTAATGCGTTTAACTATCACAACCACGGACTTGTATATTAAACTGGACCGCGCACTAAGTTAACAAAACGAGCCGAGTGCGAGGCTTCAAAGTAGTAATGCGTCTCTTTCTAATACGGTGTTCATTCATTTTTCAGCCATATTGTTTTTTAATTTTTACGGAAAATGTGGTCGCTTATGGCTGACCAAAACTACTAATAATATTTCATAATATAAATTAGTATACTTATTTGATATGCTACTTCATAATAGAAGGTATCGTTCTGTCTTTTGATTGTTTCTCACAATATTCCAAAGACGGTTCTTTTGAAGTGTAGAGAATCAAGTTTTACGTTCAGTAATGATATAATATTAAATTTCACATATTTTGAGTTACAGCACTATTGCAATGGCAGTGCGATATCATTACTGAACGTAAAATTTGATTTCTCTATGCGTCAAAAAAACCGTCGTTAGAATATTGTAAGAAACAATCAAAAGATATCTACTTAACTCAAAATGAGACACACTATGTGAGCTACTTTTAATAATAATAATAACGCACACACTCAACATAGCCCCGCACTAGGGAAACCCTGAGTCGCGAGTGCCATGGACACACACATAGACAACCACAAATTACACCCAAACTCACGAGAGGTATAAGGCTATACAAATATTTCTCCCGGCCCGGGAATCGAACCTGGGACCTCTGCGTGGCAGTCCAGCATGGTAACCGTTCGGCCACGGAGACAGTTTAAAATTTCTATGTTTATTCTGGCCAAAATAATCCTTATTCAAAAACACGAAATTGTTTTATCCATTTTATTTTTAAATATATATTTGAGAAATTGTTTAAGTATCTATAATATACTATAGCATATCAATTTTAATTATTTTTTTGCGGGAAGTGAGTAATTCATCGATTCTGAGAAAGTCCTCTTTTTGAGTTAATGCATTATTGTATTAACAGTGCGACGATATGTAATTTCTCGAACTTTCTTTTTTCTTTTTTCGAGGTCGCCTTTTTTTGTTAAAAAAGTTACAATTCAAGTTCTTAGGTTTTCGCGATTATTACACATAGGAAATGAAACTATTTTTTCCGTGAACCATGGGACCTGTAAAGGGCCCGAAACGTCGGTTTGTTTGAAACGTTCACGGTCAACCGTGACCATGAGACCTGTAAAGAGCCCGAAACATCGGTTTCTTTGAAAAAACAAATATACGCGATTTAAGTCCGGAAAAATAGTTTCATTTCCTAAAGTTACAATTATTATTATTCTTTACGTTCCAGGTGACAACAACGTACTAACGGACTACCTTTCCCGAAAATCAAAGCGATACAGCCTTCTTTCTTTCTTCAGCTTCGCCAAAGAGTCTATATTACCGCAACGCAACAAGAAAGCTTTTTGAAAGGTTTAGTGTTAAGTTAGGCAATTAAATATATTCATTTCATTAACTCCATGGTAGTGGTGCACGATTTTTTGCTTTGAATCGATTTTTGAAAACTATTCTGCCAAATCATTACTGTGACAAATGCGCTCTGATTGGCCAGCCCGAATTCGAAACAATTGACGGGTGTCGTCAATTGTTTCACTTCAAACCGACCAGTTTAACTTGAGCTTTGCAATAATGGACGACAATTGCAAAATTACATATTTAATATTTAATTACCGACGAAATGTGATTCCGTTTGGAATGGAACAGATGCCATAGTTAGGGCTATTATCTTTATTACAATAAATACAGAATATTTTGGAATATACGGAGATAAACACACAGGTCAGTTGGCGCTGTACTATTTCAGCTTTCTAATTTGTGATTTCAGTGCAAACGAGAGTTGATATTTAAAAGTGATATAAGGCTCATTTGCCTGATAAGTTGCCAGGGATGGATGGCCCTTATTGCGTCTCTATTTCTGGTTATATACTAGATGTAGTGGATCATATGCCCTTGAATCGATCCATTGATCGGATCATAAAATCCTCTTGAATCAGCCTCATAAAATTCATTTCAAAATTAATTTTTATAAAAAAAATATTAAACGCCTTTTTGGCTTCCGTCGCGTCGGTTACGACTTCAATTTAGAGTTTTTTTTATGATACGAAGTGATGGGAAGAACAAGTCGTGGGTCTGGTAAGTGACACGCCTGTTCATAACAGTTGCAGTGCGAATAAAAGCTTTAAATCAAACAAAATAAATAAAAAAAAACGTACATGACAGTTATGTCGCGGTGTATACGGGATAACTTCAACTAGATTTTTCTAACGATATTCCGTAACAAATTGTTTGTAAAAAGTGCCTACCAAATTAGTCAATTGTTGTTATGTGAAACGATATTTTAAAAAAAACTATTTCATTGATAATGGAAATGAATAGACAAGTCATTCGACACCTTATTCAATTCATTTTGTTTAATATTTGTTCTTAAAGTATTGTCTCTAAATCGATTCACTCTTCGTTACAAATTATCTCGATAAGATATTTAAATCGATTTTATTAACCCATTTTACAACACTACACTTCTAGAAACTTCGAATCTCAAACGTCACTATGTGAAGTGAACTAACTTTTGTATAAGGTTTTTTTCAAGTTTAAGTTGAGAAAAAATCTATTTTGACTGTTTCCCAAAAATTGCTCTTTATAATTTTGTCACTTTATGAAGGCCGCCATATCTCTCGGAAATGAACTTGAACAGAAAACTATTTCCGACATTTCATTAAAAAAAATAAAAATATTTTTGTCACAGTACAATTTATAAGTAAAAGTATATCCCTGACCAAGTTTAAACTTAAGCTGGTGGATCGTATTCATGTCATAACTAAATAATTTTAAAGTTGAATAATGAAAACTTAATTATCATTACGATTCGAAACATGCCTGGATTACTTTTAAATGTTAAACCAAGATGGAGAAAAAGATCATATAAAAAATGGCGGGTGCCTCAAGATGGCGGAAGCCATAAGATGGCGGATGCCTCAAAATATAGCTGTTTAGCAATTTAGTAGCTATAGAGCTTTCTGTGAAAGAGTTCGTCGAGAGAAGTACTACCACCTTACCTATTTCTGCCGTCTAGCAGTAGTGTGAGCATTACTGTGTTCCGGTATTGAAGGGGAAGGGTGCTGGTGAAATTACAGGCACATGGGACTTGTCAACTTATGTCTCAGGGTGACGGGCACTGTGGCAGTGCCCCTCAGATCTGTGCGATTTAAAGCTCTGAGTGGCACTGCAACTGTTATGGACAGGCGTGTAGCTTACCATCAGGCGCACGACTTGTCCGTCCTGTCACTTGATATTATTAAAAAAGCCCGGATGCCTCAAAATAGCAGATTCTTAGTCTACTGCTAAGTAGAGCTCCTTGTGAAAGAGTTCGTCCTGGGAAGTACTGCGACCTTACCTATTTCTACCGTCAAGCTGTAATGTGAGCATTACTGCGTTTCGGTAAGGGTAAGGGCGCTGGTGAAATTAGAGGCACATGAGTCTTGTCAACTTATGGCTCAGGGTGACGGGCGCAGTGGCAGTGGCAACTGTTATGACAGTGTTCGTTCAATCACTTGGTATAAAAAAAAATTAGTTGAAATTTTTAACCTTTTCGTTTCAACTTTTACATTGAAAGTAGTTAGTATAAATATAAATTAATAAATAAATTTCCTTTAAATTAAATTGTAAATATTTGTATCTATAACATTTCACGTGACGCGGGTTCCCCTCGTACAAACCAAGAGTATTGATTGACACTATTGATGGTGTCTGTGGTTCAGCAGTTTCTAGATTCAGTTCCCGGTTGTACCGTGTTAGGAAATAAACATTTCTGACTTGGTTTCGGCGCTCTGGGTATTGCACTAGAGTTATCAACAACCGTATAACCCGGGATTGATACTCCAAGGATAAGTACTTAAACCCCTACATTGCGTTTACAATTCGTCGCCTTGGATGAACTAAAAAATTGAAACATTTTACATTAAAATGCAGTCCTATTAAAAAAAAACGAGATCTTTCTAATGAACAAGGTCTTATAAAGATCTTAGGTGAAATGTCACTAGTTTTCCCAGTTATACCATTGGATAATAAATAATGGTATAAATAGTACTTACCTGTCCCATTTATACCTGTTATGGTATAGGTGGTCCTAGTTTATCCCAGTTATACCATTGGATAAAAAATAATGGTGTAAATGGTACTTACCTGTCCCATTTATACCTGTTATGGTATAGGTGGCACTAGTTATCCCAGTTATACCATTGGATAATAAATATGGTATAAATGGTACATACCTGTCTCATTTATACCTGTTATGGTATAGGTGGGACTAGTTTATCCCATATTGTATAATAAATAATGGTATAAATGGTACTTACCTGCGCCGCTTATACTTTTAATGGTATAAGCGGGACAGGCAGAGTTTATGCCATTGAAACTATTTTTAATAAATAGGTACAGCGAGTTCAACACCTCTTTGTGACCTGCGATTATTTAGCACTTTTAACATATTGTACGGGAACCGCGCCGCTGCGCGTTATGTGTGTGGAATTTTAAATTTCTTAGCTGATAAATTCTACCTAGTCAATTAAAGACAAAATAACGTAAAAAAAATCAATTATACATTCGATTTTGTTAACTCTTTTTAGATTAGATAATATTTTTAGTGCCATCTTTTTTTACAACAGTTGGGTGCTGATTACTGCCGTGCACAACTAAAACGCGGTAAGTGACAAACAGTGAAATATCCGTTATAAATAGTAAAAACTACGGCACAACATTTTCTTTTAAAAACAACTAAAATTACGCATAGCTGAAATATCATTACACAATTTCAATATTCTAAAATTGGGTTATGGTTTTTTATGATATCGCACTGTTATTCCAATAGTGTTATAACTCAAAATATGTGAAATTCGAGATTATACTAATGCCGGATGTAAAATTTGATTATCTACACGTCAATAACAGCGTCATTAGAATATTGTAAGAAACAATTAAAAGATATCTACTTAACTCAAAATAAGACAAAACTTTTTGTAAGTCTTTACAAAAATATCAGTAATATTTGGCGAGTAGATAATTCTTTAGATGTCTGTAATAAACTTTAAGCATGTAGGTTTAAATATAATTTATATAAATTTATAATATTATTATATAAATTTAAATTTAATAATCTTTCACGGAAAGCGAGTAATTAGTTTTTCATCGATTCTGAAAAATACACATTTTGAGTTAGTACACTATTGTATTAACAGTGCGATAGCTCAAAAAAATATTTTATCTTAGCCGCGTTTTCGTTAGTGGACGGCAGATAAGCAGTAACATGTTACTTAAAAGACCCCCTACACTGGCGTTTTTTGAGCGTTAGCGCTTTTCCAACGCAAGCACAGCGTCGACTCGACGCATGATGCGAATGAAGCTTCTTCTTGACAAATAAGTACTTATTTGACAGTAAGTACTACTACGAGATTTTTTTCATCCAAGTACGCAGAAGTTGTATAATAACCTTTACTATAAAGTTTTTGTTTCACTAGTTTTAAACCTATATCAACCGTTATCTTGTTATGGAAGCGTATATAATTTGTGTCTGTGAAGACGACTATCAAGAACAGCAAGTTTATCTTTATTCCTTGTATTAATGTTGTCTGTCACTATTTTTCATAAAGAAATTACTATTCCTCTTAACACGTTCATCGCCGTGGTGGGTCAAAATGATGGCATCTCATCACCTATTGGGGCCGAGGGGGGTTAAAATGAACTTTGCGACACTACGTAATTAGCCATATAACATGATCGGCGTGGCCCTGATGAACTGCTGTTGCCACTTGGTATTTAGGACTTTTGATGGCATACATACTTATCTAGACTAAGAGAAAAAGTGTATATATTTCGAATAAAAAAAAAATTATTTCAAGTTGGATTTAAAAGGTACAAACTAAGGAAAAAAAGTGGTTAATGTGAAATGTCAATCTCAAATGAAAGACGTACATCAATTTTAGGTAAACATCGATCGAACATTACGTGCAAATATTCTGCCCGGCATTGCGACTGGCGATAATTAGTACGTTTAAATGCCCGGCACTAAATATAATCCCAAACTACAGCCAAATAATGAAATATCGCGAAAAAAATTATAAGCTTATACAAACGAGACCAATAGATACAAATACAAATAGATACAATGTCATATTTTGAACATTTTTGAAAATTGTAGTCGGCGACGAACGTGTTAACATAAATTACAGTTTCATAAATGTACTGTGACGAACTTATTTCTCGAAGATACTCTGGGGCCCAGATTTCGGGCGGATGTCGGACAGAGAACGGAATTAGATCACCAGCAGTCGCACACTGACACCGCGTTGGCATCGCGCCGCCGCGCGGATGTCATGTCGACACCGTGCGTGCGTTTGCAAAACGCTGACGATCGAAAGACGCTAGTGTGGGGGGCTCCATAAACTCGAAAATTGAAATATTAACGTCACGCTGTAGCTAGACGTCTCGCCTACATTTTACAAACAAAAACTTAGTGATTTGAAACCTCTAAATAATAAAAAATGGTAAAAACATCCGTTTGTATCCAGCCTCTCCAGCCAGATCTTTGTATTAATAATTATAACAAACTAGTGGAATAATTTCATAAAAAATAATTGAATATCATTCAATAAAATTTAATTACAATTTATTAAAGCGACACCTGTAGTCAGCTGCTGGTAGCTGTAAAGGTACCTGGCTCAGTAAAGAAATAGATTTTTCACAAGTTATAAGGGTGCTTTACTGTCCACACTGGAATAAGCTTATTCCAGCAGCACCATTTCTCAACCTCGAAAACAACAGCACCTAGCTTAGATCTGATTACACTAAAAATGGTCGTGATTTTGTTAGTTCCTCGTTTGTTTGTTCTGACTTTCTTTAAGAAAGCTCACGACCAATAAATTTATTTATTTAATTGTGCAAGTGCAATACATTTATTAAAATTCGTATTTAATGAGCGTTTGTCGCGTCTTCAGTTAATTTTTAACAATGACAAAGATCATTATCAAAAAAGAAAGTTAAAAAGTTTATCATGTAACCCAGAGGTTGCTTGGAAGAGATTGCTATAAAACCAATACCGCCTGTGGTACCTGTTTTTTTGTTTTTGTTGTTGTGTGCATTAAAATGTATATATATATTTAATATGTACATCACATACGTTGCACTGATTCCAAAATAACCAAAGCATCGAGACTATATAGAAAAGTGAGTTTTTCTACATTAACCCGGCCGGGGACTCGGACCTCGAAGATGACGACACCATGAAAACCAGATGGGTCGTCAATTTGTATTATATTGTATAGGTGAGCACATTGAACTTTTTTTTTGCGTGGGGAAATCCTCCGAGGATACCTCTCCGCCGCGGGGGCAGCGGGAGGTTATGCCGGACTTCTACCGGCTAAAACCCCACGGTGGCCTTCTCGGGTGCTCTAGTGGGAAGGATCCGGGATCGACTTTGCGCACCGGAACCCCCCCAGCACCTAGGAGGAGCTACATCCTCCCCCTCCTCTCCTCACGACGAAGCGGGCCACACCGCCCCGTCGTCCTCGTCGCCCCCGCTCCGATCGCCCGCAGCCGCGAAGGTACGCCGCCGCCGAGCGGGATCGGCCCTCTCCCGATCACGCTCGGCGACCTCCTTCTGAAGCATCACCGCTTCACAGAAGGAGACCACTGCCTCATGGGACTCTTGATCCGCCAACATAGCCGCTACTATGCCTGGCGGAGAGAGATCTCGCCCGATCCGGGCAACCAGGCCCATGCGGGGCAGATTTAAAATGATTGACCTAGGGTGAGCAGGTTATTTTTGTCAGATTTAAAATGCTTTATTGTCAATGGTGCAATATATACTAGCGGATACATCAGCCGCACTAGCCTATAGGACCATAGACAATCCCATCCCATATCTTTCTACATAACTTTTGTTTATAGTGCCCCGCCTTTTCAACCTCTTGGTTATGCGGGAAGGGCACTGACCTTTGCGAGCGAACCCGCACAGGGACTATCTAAGTCAGGTCGTAACCCCGGATCAGCACGTTTGCACGGACTTCACCCGGTTCTCAAAGGCTAGTGCCTTAGGTGAGCCGCCCCGGTTGCACGTATAGCACCATTCCTATTTTCCAGATAGGTACCGGAGCTATAGGCACGCTCACTATCACATGGCTATAGACAATCTACACTCACCGGCTGTAAAGTCGGACACTTAAAAAAATTAGTTTCTTTTTCACTTTGAAATAGTGAGAGATTGGGAATTTCTGCCGAAGCAAACCGACAATAATATGCTCTGGTTAGAAATTTTTAATAACGTGAACATTTAGTAATTTCAACCGGATTCTAATGCATTGATATTACTCCTATATTTACTTTTTGCCTAAAGTCTGCCAAATTACAAACAAGCAAGAAGCAATTTTTTTGTATAACGTACAAACTATATTACAAAGGTTTCCAAGTAAATAACTAAATGTAAACAAACCCTAATGAGGTATTTTATGAGTGGTTACTTATTGTAAAATTATAAAGGACTTTTTGAAAATGGTCCCAAATATATAATTTCGAACTACCAAATTTAAAATAGTACTAAATATATAATATTTAAATAAGCGTGTTTAATAACACGTATCACAACTTTCGCACGATAAACAATCCAAAATCCAGCCTTTAAAAAAATGACGGCTAATGACAGGCGACCAAATTAAAGAGTACAGTAGTAATACGACATATGAAACTCATCACTATTGTATTTGACCGGTTAACCATGTGACAGCAAGTTCTTATGTTAATTGCCTAAACCTATATACTACGAGCCAAATGATCATACCTTTCGAAAAATTCTCACGTATCGCATTCTAACTTAAGAGTTCATTATGCTATGTACTATTTCGTTACAAAATAGAAGCTTCCCTTCCGTTCCACAGCGCAGTAACGGAAACTCAGCCCTAAGTGGTTCTCGTTCTTTGTGGTTCACATTGTTATTTATTATTATTGTCCGTAAGTGTATTTTCCCTTCATAAACTGACATACCCAGGTAATATTTATAAAAGTGATAATAATTTCGATGTATGTATGTACATTATAATTAGGTAATAAAAATTTGTAAATACGTTGCTGTGTTAAATTATTTCCTTTTGTACGTGTTTGTGATAAATAAAATTAATAATGCAATTGGTTTTTCATTTATTTTACAACCCAATAAAGTAGAAACCTCAAAATAATGCATTTTTTTAAATGGCGTGTTATTGTAAATAGTTTTCACATGAATTAAATTGTGTGCCTTATTCCAGCGTGACCATGGTCGAGTTTTTGAAATTTTATTAGCCAGAAACACACGCCACTAAATAGAGACTTATCTGGCTAGTCAAATTTCTAAAACACGACCATGATCACGCTGGAAGGCACGCCATTCAACTGATTATTTGAAAATCACTGGATAGAATTTTTTTCCCGTGGCTCACCTGCGTTCACATAGGTGTACTAGTGATTTTTTTCTCGTAGATCACTTTCCACCAACCGTCATAGAACTTATTGACTAACGGAGTCCGTATCATGACTAGTATAGGTAACAACTACATTTATAATCGTAACATGTGATGCGCATTGCTTGGATTTTTTTTATTTTAAATTGTAATATTCTGGAGACCGAACAATAAACTTGCCGCTTTAATCCAACGTATTTCGTCCGTCCTATAAAAAAGTGAGGCAACACTGCATTATTGGTAAGTAATAAATAAAAAACATAATTTAATTCGAAATAATATATTTCACTATTCTAATTTAGAATACGCGCCGCGCCGGCCGCACGCACGACACCACACACAGGCCTGTGAATAAACGCACAAATCTAGGAATAAACGCACGGGCGGCGGGCGCGGTGAGAAATTAACTTAAATGTGGAACATTGCATTCCTTGATTCTTCAATTTGTTGTAATAATGACTTTTCAATCTACACTCCCGGACACATAAATCGAGCCATCTTGCATTTTTATTTTTCAAGTGCTAGAATAAAATTTGTTTTATTATCATTGAAGAGAGTTTTTCCCGATTTCGAAAATTCAAATTTTCACCAAAACCTTTTGAAAATGACGTTTAAAACACCAGTTTCAAAAATATTAGTTATTGACCAATCAAACATTATTTAAGCCAAGGACATTTAATACTTGACAATGCAAAGTGGCTCGAAATATGTGTCCGGGAGTATATTTATGGATATATATTGGCCCATATCATCGATAACAAGTAATTTATGTGATGTTTGTATATGAAAGCTATATGATGCGTGCGAGGTTTACGCACTTTAAAGGCACAGGCGAACTTGTGAGCACGCTTTGTACTAAATGCGTGTTTTTATAAGGAGAATCGACAAATGCTGTCTAACACAGGATAAATAAGTAATAATGTGCCAGTTTTTTCTGTATTAGTTAGAAAAGGACACGCGCCGTGAGAAAAGTCAAATATTACTACAAATACAGGCAATTTCTATGCACATATTGCAATATTAAAGCTACTTCACTTGTTTCGAACACGGTTAAAATAACGTTCAAGGCGGAAAATTTTATTAAATTCCCTCTGGTACTACTGATCAGCACCACTAGATTATTAAAAATATTTCCCTGAGTACACCTCAGTAGTACAAGTGGTAACATACCTAAATCACTCGTATGGGGATCAAAACTCGCGATTTAAAAAAATATATGCATAGAAATGCTTTTTTATCCAGCGAAAATCACCAAAACGACAACAGTCTGGGGAGCACATGTTTTTTATATAAAAAATTATATTTTTAAATGCAGTAAAGCTTGTCTAATGTGTGGAAAATGCAGGCTATATCGTCATACAAGATGTAGTCCACAAACTGTTGAGTAGAATTTCATATTGTTAAACATATATATTACAATTATTACATCATTATTTTGGTGTAATTTGTATTTTGTAAAAACATTTAAACAGATTCTAACGAAGTACTGTAATAGCATCGCTTTTTTTATCGATCTTGATTATTCGAGTTTAAATTTAACTCTCTCTTGTTTACACCCTGTTGTTTCAAAATACAAATATTCCAATACAAATAACAGCCTAGGGAATAACCAGTTCTTTCACTAAATAACAATTAACTTCCGGCGCTAACATTTCGAGCTTCTTGTGTTCTATAAAATATATAGATTACGTATCTAGGAGACACTGCATGATTTTTTTTAAATATTTTGTAACTTTTATCGCGAATTTGTATAGCTTACCATTGGCGTCAATGACCAATTCCACTAATTTGAAATATTATTCCATGTAGAACTACTAGAGGAAATGCAAAGTGGAACTATTTTAAACTACTGGCAGTTCCACCAAATGAACTATTCGGAATATTATTCTCTGTAGAAATACTAGACGAAATGCAAAGTGGAACCATTTTAAATATTAAAAATATATATTAAAGCAAAATCTAAGAGCACTTAAGACACTTCGCATTGATAGACTATCGTGATCTTTGGACTAATTTAGTTCTTGCTCTAGCTTTACCATTGTATACATAATGAATGAATAAACTGACAAACGTGCATAGACACTATATAAATTAAAATGTCTTCATGTAGTACCTCCCAGGAAGTAAATCTATGAGGAATAAAATTAAAAATAACAACTATAGAAAATAAAACGCACAACTACACAAATCGCACACGCAGAAATGTAAAACTGTGCGTTTTTTGAACAAAAAAAAATCGGTTCAAAAACTATTTTTATTTTTCTACTGCGTCCAATATTTATCTATGGTATAATTAGGACTTCTTTCAAGTGAAGTCTTATTTATACCAAATTTATTCGTTTTCAAAATGTGCTTAAGCAAGCACATACCTAGTTATATTATTTACATAGCTTATTTACTCGCACCTTACAAGTGACACGCATGCTCCCGATTGTAGTTTATACAAGATGTAACAAAAAGGTCTCTCCAATCAGTGATAAACAACTTATACAAAAACAAACTAAAAAAAAGCAATTTATTGTTTTGCCGTGATGTGTGGACGGCTTTCTGGAGAAACCGGTTCCCGAGATATATTTAGGTAGCTCTTTGAGATCATAAAACAGTACAAGAAATCACTCGGCCGTGTTTGATAGTTTGTATGATACAGAATAGTCTGAAAAATATTGAAAAATGTTTCTTCTTTTTTTAAATGTTATGGCCCCATCGAAATAATCAATGATTTTGCCAATGTCAAGTAAAAATAACTATGTAAGGTAGTTTAGTATTATTATAAAAATTATACAAAAAAAATGGCGATTTCGCCAATGTCCTGTCTGAAAAATGTTTGGACAGAGCCCCATGAACACGACAGTTGGGAGTGAACACAATGTCACCTTGACAGATGACGTAATTTTAGATTGTTTGATTGTGTTGTGTGCACGGGCGCTTAAACTACGGCAAAAAGAATAACATGGACGATAAGAGCATGTAACTAGCTTTTGTTTAGACTACAGTTACGATTGTAAATCGACGACTTATTTTCGAATTCACGAGTGTATTGAAACGCTTCTGCAAAATTTTCATAGTATTTTACGCTTTAACTCCTAACCACTTTGTATATTCACTTTATTAAGAACGATTAACACTAGAATCATAATGAAAACATTGTTTTATTATTTTTAAAATAAATTAAAAACAGTCACGGGCAGCAACGGGAAATAGCGAAAAGTTCGTGGACAATGGAAATTGACGAATCGTATCAAATTTCGCAATGTAATCATCTAAAGATGGTTTTAATTCAACCTATATTGAATAAAATTTTGTGTTTGAGCGATATTGTTTTTTTGAACAATTACAAAGTACAATGACCTCCGCTTTGAAAACAATTTTGTTTTTAGATTGTGACATAAATATGATATTAAATGTTAACGTTTTAACGCCATCAGAAAAAATACAAAATGACGATCATTTTGATAGGTGACATAAATAGTAATGGTATACACTCACAGCAGAAGTCTTTAGGAAACACTCAAACTCAAATATCGCGCCACAAGTTGTAATTTTGACACTTAACCCTGTGTTAGTTACGCATAGTAGAGATGTTCTGTTATACTAGGTTATTAAGTATTACTGCGAAATACTAGTAAAAATTTAGTGTCAATACGTGTCACCACACTAGAGTTATCGGTAAAACAGTTCCCCATTCCCCATCCGTTATTTACTGCTAACTATTGTTATCAGCAAATGTTGAGCGTGTATCGCGTCTAGTAGCTATAGTTACCAGTAAACTTTTAGGTGGTTTGACCATATACCCTTATCTTTGAGACTTTCGATAGGTTATTGAATCTGGAGACCAAATTGACTTCTGGTACTGTTTGCGTATGCGCAAGATACACATACATCTCATATGTAGAGCAGCGTGGTTATGTATAATTTGGCAGGTTACGTTCGGTGTCCGATTAGCGAGCGCGAGCTTTAGTTCTTCTCTTCTTTCTTGACATCATCACCGGGAGGTGGCTGTTGCTGGCCTCCTTGTCCGCCTTCGCGCTCCGCTGCCATCTGAAGAGAAAAAAAAGATGATATTAGGTTGTTGTAAAGGATTGTCTTCTTATTCTCGTAACCGCTACCGGGGTAGGATTCATGTTAGTTGATACAAAAAAGATTACCTTATATCTTAACTAGACTTCGATTGAGGAAAATGACGACGTATTAAAAATGAATGGGATTCATAAAGCGACCCATTGACCTACCAACAAATGGGCGTCGCTAAAAAGTGTGCGTTAAATAGGGCGTTAAATTCGCTTACAGAGCGTTAATATCGCAACAATCTTCGTTTTGTTCGACTGACAGCGAGGTTGTCAATCGTGCAGAACTATATATAATAACTTGTAAAAATTACTGCATTGAAGTGTAAAAACAGGATTTTGTATCATATTTTTACTAAACAAATATATTGTGTTGTCATAGTTATAATTTAAAAGTATTATTTTGTACGGGTGTATAGTATTTGATTTATATATAAATGAATCGTAAATATAAGCGAAAACACACTACTGCCTTCCAAAAGAACATAGATGCAACTGCAGTGCATCAAACGACTCTGTCGTGCAAACGACTAGGCGGCTGCCGTGAAACGATAAATTGTCGTCACGATCTAGTGGGAACAGCTAGGCACGACAGTCGTTCAACGATAAAACAATCGTCCACGGCACATTCACGACATTCATGACAAATCAACCTACGGAATCTCGTGTGGTAAGTCTTGATTCGTTCAACAACGAAACAGAGGGTCTCTCGTTCTTCGTCCGACATTCGCCCGAAACAATAAACGTCAAATAAGTAATACTCAACCATAGACAATTTCAAGGATGAAGCTTCATTCGCATCATTCGTCTTTTAATTTGATTGAGTATTACTTATTTGACAGTACCTAATTGTTTCGGACGGATATAGGACGAAGAACGAGAGTACAAGGCTAGAAGATCCCACGTAGGAACCGTAGCTCAGTTGGTAAGGCAACACTACGGTGCAGTATGATCGTGGGTTCAAGTCCCATCGGGTTGAAAATGTTTTTCCATGTGTTAGATCCTTGTAAAATCATCATCATTACTGCTGGGTATAGGCCTCCTCTTTTGCACCCCGACAATATCGTCCGACCATCTAGCAGGTGGTCTGCCTCGAGGACGTTTCGCTCCTACCGTCAGTAATCGCCTTGGTCCATCGGTCGTCGTCTCGCCTAGCAACGTGTCCTGCTCATCACCATTTTAGGCTCGCGATCCGCATACCCACGTCTACGGCCCTTGGTCGCTGTCGTATCTCCACGTTGTGTATGAGGTCGATGAGGGAAATGCCGAGCATGGTGCGCTCCATTGCCCGTTGTGCTATTCTGATTTTGTGCATGTATTCCTTTGTGAGCGGCCATGTCTCGGCACCGTAAGTAAGTATGGGCAGGACACATTGGTTATAAACTTTAGTTTTCAGGCTTTGAGGGATTTTAGATTTAAATACGTCCTCCAGTTTTCCAAAGGCGGCCTATCCCAACTGAATCCTTCTTGCGATCTCCTTGTCTTGGGAAGATCGGCCAAAAGATAAACAGTGTCCAAGACAAATATGTCCTTGTAATAATAATCATAATAAAAACTAGTGGAGTTGTTAAAAAAAACACAACAATACATAAGTACCAATAGAATTTGGTGTAAATTTTAAATCGTCCAATAGGCAGACGGGAGATGTGATGATCACCAATAGGATTTCATGTAGTAGTACTAAATCGTCCAATAACCTATGTCTCAGTATTATCGGATGATAATGTTACTCCATTGCTGTGGCACACTTGCTTGACCACTCTATCTATGTCAAAGACGGAATGGCTCAAATGTGTGCACGTATAAAACGGGTGACCCTGTTCAACGTGCGGTCATCGCCATAGGGAACGGGTAGCCGCTATTACAGTATGGTGTATCTATCTAGCTTAATGGCTTTGCAAATAAGTGCGACATTCTTAACATACACATCGACAATACAATTTTTTTACATCTTAATACGACCGCCCGCTTCTTGATATGACGTAGCGAAGTTTGTAAGTTTGAAAAATGTTTGTGGTATCCTGTAATTGGCGTAGTTGTTTGGGATTGTTTATCTTTCAAATTGTTAATATATTGTAAGCTGTTGGATGCCCGAAATAAAATAAAATAAAATAAAAAATAAAATAAAGCCACGGTCTCGCAAAAAGTCAGGCCCGGTGAAAGCCGCGGTCTCGCAAAAAGTCAGGCCCGGTGAAAGCCGCTCCAGTAATCAACTAGTTATTATCCAATATAGGCAAGAAAATTATTTTTGCAGTATATAAACGCCCAGTAGGAAATTATTAAGTTAAATAGAGAGCCATCAAGACGGTTTTGTTATTATTTTTTATCGATTTTTATTGAAGCTTTAGTCACCTTGAGTGACTATGTCAGTCTCATGGGAAGAATACTGGGTTCCCTACTCAAGCGACATGTTCAAAAACTTGTACAAGTTTAGAGCGCCAATACATACATACAGGCTCTCTAAGCCAACAATTAATTTGACCATTGCGTAAACTTACATTCCCAACATTGTACCCGTCAGGGTTACGTTACGTTTACATTCCACCAATACAAACAGATCCTCTATTTTATTGCAAGTACTGCACAATGGGGATGGTTTAAAACCCATCACATGAAAGAATTTATTAGTTGGAATGTAAGACGGTTTTATTTAAATTAACTAAATGTAACGGAACACATCGTTGTTTTATTTCGTTATATTGTCATATTGTTAAATGACAAATTTATACCAATAATTTGAGAATATGTAGCTAATGCGTTGTCATATCGTTTTCATCCGAAATTGCGTGCGATCCGATTTCTATTGCATCCGATCACTCGTTGCAAGTCGAACGCTGAAGGTAGACTTATTTTTGCAATTCTGAGCGTACCATAAACATGTTTGTAATCGATGTCCATCATGTTTATTTAGATATTTTCGATACCGTGGTCATAAAGTAGATGTTATCTATACTGATTATAGAAGTGCTTTTGATAAAATTGACCATAATATTCTCTTGAATAAACTTGCTAGAATTGGTGTCAGAGGTGACCTTTTTATGTAGTTTTCTTCGTACATGAATAATAGATCTCAAGCAGTAGGCGTGAATAATTTATATATCCAGATAAGTTGTCTCACCTAGTGGAGTGCCCCAAGGTTCATTATTAGGGCGTCTCTTTATTAATATATTTTTTCTTCTCAGCATATCATTGATTCCACTGTTGGATATATGCCTCTTGATATGATTTCCATTGTCCGCAGTTTATTCCCTATCTATCGACCCGAGAGATAGGGTTGTCCGGAGAGACTACGGGCTCAACGGCAAGACCAGATTAGGGCGGGCGTCCGGGCCAAACCCTCCGCCAGTTATACGCCTTCACAGGCGTCTCTGGCAGAACCGGACTTGGGTATGGACTCGCCGGGGTTAGCTGCAGGAACGAACACGTTCATCTGCCCCGGTGGTGTTTAGTTGAGGGCCTGAAGTGAGTTGCCCTTTAATCCGGTAGCTATGGCCGGACATTGTCGCAGGACACTGCTACTTGGCATCTCCGCAACTAGCCTGGAGAGCTAGTAGAGGATGAGCTTTCACATACAGCTTTCGGTCCCTCCAGTCGCGTAGAAATTAAGAAACTCGAGAGACGCCGTTCATTCGGTGTTGGGAAGTGAGCGTGACTCACAACTCCGACACCAATGAGGAGATTTGCTAGTGGACTTTAGAGTCGACGGGTTATATATTATACATGGATGGCAACCGCTATAGTGCGCGCGGAACTAGCTGGCCGCGCCTTAGGTAGGGACAGGGGTGAGGGGGCGGGTTGCTTGCTGCTCGCAACGCACATGAGATTAGACAGTGACGACCAATCTCGAGATATCGTGAACAATAATTGTTCAGTTATTGAAAAGAAAAAATTAAAGCCAATTGAACTTTTACAAGTTTATATTATACCTATCTAATTAATTGCAATGTACAGTCGGCAGCACATCAGGCCGCCACAAACTGTTAGATTTCCTCAATTGATTTTCAACTTAAAGTCCAGGGAATAGAGTATAAAATTGATTGGATAAATTTGACATTTATGTATTGATGGACTTGCTGTTGTCCGTACATTGCAATTAAAAGTAAAATAAACCAAAAACAAATTAAATGAAATTCTTCCGACATATTTGAATCATTTATGAAATTATTATTAATTAATTAGTGTAACTAACACGACTTTGTATTTATAGATATGAAATTACTCTGACATATTATCCTCTGAATCACTTGATTCTGAATTGTCTGAACTTGAGTCAGAATCATCTTGTAAGTTTATAATGAATTCGTCCATCACAGTATCATATCTCATATCATGATTCCAGTATTCTTGTTCGTTTTTTTGTACGTGGTCGTCGCATTTTTGCCATTGTTCGGCAGAAAATTCAGAAAATAGTCTTGTTAGTATTGTAATTTTCTCGTCCAATGTAGCATTAATGTGATCTCTGGCCAGGCAATTTTTTATATTTGCCCACACAAGCTCGATTGGGTTGAGATCTGGATGATATGGAGGTAGTCTTAGAACAGTATGACCTGCACCTTTCAGAAGTTCATCAATCGTGTATATTTTTTCTGATTGGGTCGTATTAATCAAGCCCAAGAGTTCAGCTTTGACCATCGTGGGAGAAAAGGGCACGTTATGATTTTGCAACCAATTCTGCATATTAATTTTCATACAGGACATAGTCGGTTTCTTCTCAACTTGCACACAGTGGTAAGCTGCATTGTCCATAACTATGACTGAGTTAGGTGGAAGTTTAGGTATTAACTTTCGATCAACCCAGTTGTAAAAATTTGTAGAGTTCATGTCTCCATGATAGTCTCCTGTTTTTGAATCTGATTTAAAAATTAGCAGAGCATCGTCAACTAACCCGTTCCGACTACCAGCGTGAACTATTATTAAACGCCTTCCTTTGCCTATATCTGCATAAACACCAGGCTCCGACGAAGATTGCCAACATTTTTGGACATTATGACTTTGGTTAACGTAAGTTTCGTCCAAAAAGAATATATTTCGTTTGTCTTCTCTGAATTTTCTTATGGCCCTCAAATATTTCACTCGCCATTCAACAATGTTTGGTCTCTCTAATAAAAGGGATCTCTTCGATTTACATTTTTTAAATGAATATCCCAGTTTGTGCAAAAGTTCTCTTAAATAAGTTAATCCGCAATCTAAAATATTATCCTCTTTTAACACAGCATTTAGTTTTCGTAGACTTGGATTTGTTTTCTGTACCGTATAAAACTGATTTATTTTTCTTCTTATCACTCCTAAATCAAAATCAGCAACTTGTATTTTCTTTTTTATCTCTTTTGGCCTTCGTGGAGAACTAAATTTTGCTTCCCCTGTATTTTGCAAGGATGTTTTACTTTGAGCAATCACTCTCCTTACACTTCGTTCTGATATCCCGGTTGCTTCTGCCACTAATTTATGAATATTCGCATCAGTTTTATATTCTAAACTATTGACATCGGCTTTCCGTTTTTTAAAAAACGTATGCACTTTAAATATTATTTCCTTAGATTGTCTTTTTATCGGCGGACTCATCTTGACATTGCAATCTCTTGTGCGTTTTGTCTAAACTAGCCAGAACTGTCAACCGAACTGAGTATTCTGAGTAATGACATCAAGTGCCCCCGCCTCCCCGTCCCACCGCTCACATACCTAAGGCGCGGCCAGCTAGTTCCGCGCGCACTATAGTTGTGCAATGCGCAACGGGAAATGAGCGTACCTACAGCTCCGGTACATATCTGGAAAATATGGAGGATACTGTACGTGCACCCGGGGCAGCTCACCCGAGGCACTAGTCTCTTGAGAACCAGATTAAGTCAGTGACAACGGTCTGTGACGACACTGGCTGATCTGGAGTCAGAATCTGAACTCATAAGGTTCCTGTGCGCCCACAGGTTATAGTGACTTCCCGCATAACCATGTGGTTAATAAGGAGGGTCACTATAATCAAAACTTATGTAGAAAAGATGCGGGGTTTGTCCTCAGTATGCGGCGATTCTGTTCCAGGTCGGGTCAGTTTTAATTCAGCCCGACCATCTCGCTGGTGGTCTGCCCATATTTCGTCTTCCTAAACGGGGTGTCTAGAAACATTCTTCGGCGCCAGCGGTCGTCGTCTCTACGACAGACGTGTCCAGCCCATTGCCACTTCTGTTTGGCAACACGTACACGCACGTCGAAGACATTGGTGCGTAAACCTATTGCTTCATTCTGTATCTTATCGCGTAGATATTTGTTAATGACATTAAAATTGAAGAAATATCTAAATACTAGTGAATAAATAAATAAACAATGTGATATATTATCTGTTGCAAGAATCGGGCCTCAACACCTTCTTCATATTCAGTAACGATAATATTTACCGAGAGGAAAGCTATATTGATTAACGTTGATACGGAATTTACTCAAAATTGGCTGTAAATGGATTGAAAATAGGTTAATGCTTTGACTGCCCGTAAAAAAGGGATTGCCTTTTGATGCAGTCACGAAACCATCGAGTATATAACCAGAAATAGAGACGAAACAAGGGCCATCTAACCCTGGCAACTCATCAGGCAAATGGGCCTTATATCACTTTTAAATATCAACTCTCGTTTGCGCTGAAATCACTAATTACAATTGAAATAGTACAGCTCCAACAACTGACCTGTGTGTACGTCTCCAATATATATTCCAAAAATATTCTGTATTTATTGTAATAAAACAATTGGAGGCTGTTCCATTCGGCGGTGTGGGGAAAAACAGCAAAACATCTAATTACCAAACAAACTGTATCAAATTTCATCGGTAACTAAATATTAAATATGTAATTTTTCAATTTTCCTCCAATATAGCAAAGCTCAAGTTAAACTGATCGATTTGAAGTGAAACAATGTCGTTAATTGTTTCACTTCAAATCGACTCGTCAGTTGTTTCGAATTCGAGCTAGCCAATCCGAGCGCAGTTGACACTGTAGTAATTTGGCAGAATAGTTTTAACACAAATCAAATGACATTTCGCCTCTATTTCTGGTTATAGTATATATGAAACCGTCAATATGTAATTGCTAGTGACTCTGTAGGCTACTCACCTTCTTGTAGGCTTGTTCGAAGAGCTTGAGGCTGGCCTGCTGCAGCGTGGAGGTGGCAGTGCGGATCTCCTCCGCGTCGACGGCATCTTTCTTCGCGAGAAGGTCGCGCAGCTTCGTTATCTCGCCACGCAATTTATCACACTATACAAAAAAAACATTTATTTTTGAAACATTTTCAATTGGCACAACTCGGGTTGGATGCATGACGACGTATTGTTATTAAACGTTTACAAATGTACCTTGAGAAGTAACCCTTGTCTTAATAGGCTATCACAACTTTTTCTTTTTTAAATTTTTTTAGTACACAATATAGTTCTTGAGATTTAGATGCTTTCGTGGTTATTCACTTAGGGCCGTATTCCAGAACTCTACTCAATGCTCCAGTCAGGACTTGAGTATGAGTTAACGCACTAGAAATCATACTCAAGTCCTTGCCATGAGGGTCGTATTTCCAGTGCTTGAAATCATACTCAAGTCTGCTCTAGTCCTGACTTGAGCATTGAGTCGAGTTCTGGAATACCTAAATGACTATCACTATAGTCGTCACCAAATAAGAGGCCAAATTTGGCAGCTAACGAAGGCGATAGTATGTAACTTTGAATACGATCAACGAAACAATAAACAAACAATCATTAGCATAATTAAGTTTAAAACAAATACATAAATATTATTGAAACATTATATAATATGACAAAACATATTTGAAGTACTATTTTCGCACGAATTCTAACAAAAAATGCAATTTTGAGTTACTCCGAAACGTCCCGAAAACAGTTACGTCCTCAATATTTTTTTTTTTTTTAATAATAGTGTTGTAAGCAATTAGTCGCCGAATTTCACCAAGTCACTTCGATTTGTCGGAAAAAAATATTGACTTATTAAATATTAAAACAATAATGTATAAAAATAGGTGTAAGTATTTTAAATAACTATGTATATTACATCTCTGACCACACCTCTTATTAAATTTATAATTTATCAAATTTAAAAGAGCCCCGTACTCATAGCCAGATTTGTATTTCCTTTTCATTTTGAATTGAAAATTAATGAAATCCTAGGTTTCTTGGTAATGTAAACTTTTTATGAAGTTGTTTTATCGATGAACATACTTATTTACACTAAATTCTTGTATAAAATCAAAATTAAAAGAAATGTATACAATTCATCGGAACGTGGGACAATTTTACGAAAACAAGAGGAATTGCTACTGAATTGCACGATTTCGCCCTTTTGGCCCCCTGAACAACAATGAACCGAAAAATAATCTAAACAATCACAAACTATTAAAATTTTGAATCGATTTCTTGTCTATGGTTGCATAGTGATGTACGAAAAAAAACATCCGGTTCATTCAATTTAAGTTTTTGTAATCGATTAGTAAATCGAATATTTCAATTGCAATCGAACGAGAACATAAGTGTAAGGATTTGAAGGTGGGCTTAAAATTAAGATTTCGGAAATTTCAAATATGCTTATACAGGTTATGTAGGGAAAACCGCTAGTACCACTCAATTAAACAAATCGATTCATTCAATTCATTAATCGATTTGTAGTTGGCATTACAATAAACCGTCTATGGTCGGGTCAGTGACCTGTTTTGAAACGAAAGTATAGGATGCAATAACGTCAAAACGGAATTTGGGTGTCGAACGGGTTTCGGGTGCCCGTTGTTGTTCCCAATGCTTCAATTGTGACATTTTTACTTTCGAAGAGTATGTTCCTAGTAAGACCTGTCAGTGTTAACTCATGGAAAAGACGCCACTCATTAATATGACTACATTGTGGTACTAAAAGGCGTGAATGAAGGAATGACAATGTAGATAATCTGGAATCATCCCCCCGCGTACAACAACGCGACGGGTGATAACTAGACATCAATGCTCTCGCACCCGGCTTTGCCCGCAGCGAACGATCAATCGCGACTGGCTTAAATGGGGCGCTGAATAATATACAACAGTTTTAGAACATCGAAATTTGTTGTTTAATGATATTTGAGCTATGCATCGTTAGGGTAAGTTCCAAAAACAGAATTTTGTGTCTTTTTCTATTTAAAACGGATATTTGAGCATTAGTCACTTAGTGTCGTATTCCAGAACTGTACTCAATGCTCAAGTCAGGATTTGAGCAGACTTGAGTATGATTTCAAGCACTGGAAATACAACCCTAATGGCAAGGACTTGAGTATGATTTCTAGTGCTTTGAATCATACTCGAGTCCTGACTTGAGCATTGAGTACAGTTCTAGAATACGACCCTTAGTCACGTTTTAGTTAGTGGACAGCAGCTCAGGTATCTTTAAAAAATTGCAACTTCTGTGTTTTTTTAAGTTTGCATATAACGTGTATGCGAATGAGAATGTGGTTTTAGTAGTTTTTTCCTCTAGGTTTTTTTAATGACATTGTATATTCAGACTTCAACAGATGTCTAAATATCACTGTGCAAAAATCCTTATAGCGGCATAGTTCATTGAAAATCTAATGTTTCAATCTTTAAAAGTGACTTCACTATTGTCTGTTTTTAATTTTTAACCGACTTCAAAAAAGAAGGAGGTTCCAATGTCAGAATTCTTCATTTAAATTCTTTTTTGTTGGAAAGAGGATACCTCAGTAGCGATCTCATCTAAATTTGAAGAAAATATTCCATCTCTAAGGGTGACAAACTAGGGGATAAATCTGGTTTCGCGTACTTTCCGGAAACCGATTTCAATAAAACTTGGCAAATAGATGTAATTCCACGAACTTTTGAGGTCGGTTTTTTTAGTGTACTGACATTATTTTATTCAATAGTAGATTAAGTTAGGGTTAGGATATTTTATTTTAGACGTTTGTCTTTACAGAAAGGTAAGTATAATATAGTACACTTAACTATATTATTATACAACTGAAGTGTACTAGAGTGTCACAGTTAATTAAGGTGGTATTATTTATTTATTAATTTAGCCTTTATTTTTCGGGTCAAGTATATATATCAATAAGTCCAAGTTGTAACTTGTCCAAATGGCAAAATGTCCAAAACTTACCTCGTCCTGTGGCAGTTGGCTCTTGTACTCGTCCATTTTGGTTTCGGTATCATGCAGCACGGATTCAGCTTGGTTGCATACTTCAACACGTTCACGTCTCTGTTTGTCCGCGCTCGCGAACTGTTGGGCCGCCTTTACCATATTCTCGATTTCGTCCTTTGAAAGACCGCCCGAGGACTGGATTATAACTGCAGGAGAAGAACAAAGATAGTTTAAATAAAACTTTTTTTTTTATTTAATTTTTTTTTTTATACAAGCGATGGGACGAACAAGTCGGGCTCCTGGTGTTAAACAACGTGCCTGTCCATAACAATTGCAGTGCCACTCAGAGCTTTAAATGGCAAAGATGCGAGGGACACTGCCATTACGCCTATCACACTGAGACAGGTGACAAGTCTCATGTGCTTGTAATTTCACCAAAAATTTTCTAGAATATAGCTGATAATGCGGAGTGAAAAATACTGTCCACTGCGACTCATTCTGCAAGGAAAGGTCCTGGGCCACAGAAGTAGTGGCCCGTAGAAAAGCCACACATTTTTTAATATATAATAGACACACGCTTGGCCACAATCTCACCTGATGTGATGTGGCCGATGTGACCCAAAATTGTGCCTTTCGGGAAACACAGAAGCCGGTAAAGTATACTAGTATTTCATTCCTTTGCCGTACGCGTCAGAAAGGAGGAAGCAAAGCGCTAAGTGCGAATGGGTGGAATGTTAACGACATAAGGATGGATTGTTCCGGACCTTCTAGTCGACCCATCAGGTAAATCGGCCTTCAACTTAATCACTTTTAATATCAACTCTCGTTTGCATTGAAATCACAAATTAGAAAGGTGAAATAGTACAGCGCCAACAACTGACCTGTGTGTACGTCTCCGTATATTCCAAAAATATTCTGTATTTATTGTAATAAAGACAATATCTCTAACTCTTCGATTGTGTGGGGAAAACAGCAAACTATCTAATTACAAAACAAACGGAATCACATTTCTTCGGTAATTAAATATGCAATTTTTCAATTTTCGTACATTATAGCAAGTTCAACTCAAGTTAAACTGGTCAATTTGAAGTGAAACAATTGACGACACCCGTAAATTAGAATTGGCCAATCGGAGCGCAGTTGTTACCATATGGCAGAACAGTTTTCAAACAAATTAAATGACATTTCGTCTGTTTCTGGTTATTTATACTCGATGAGTCGACCAAAGGAGGATCGAAATATGGCTTTTAGTCTTTTAGAGCGGTCAACACGAGTACCACAGAACAAATTCAAGCCACAAATTCATAGACTCAAGTATCTATAATAGTAAGTGACGGGTCGAACAAGTCGTGTGTCTGGTGGTAAGCGTCACGCCTGTCCACAACAGTCGCAGTGTCGCTCAAAGGGCAGTGCCACTGCGTCCGTCACCCTGAGACATAAGTTGACAAGTCCCATGTGCCTGTAATTTCACCAGCACCCTTACCCTTCAAAACCCCTCCAAAAGCTCCGAAACACAGCAATGGTGACATTACTGCTTGGCAGCAGAAATATGTAAGGTACTTCATTGGACGAACTCTTTCACAAGGAGCTCCAGTGCTACTAATATAATATATTCAGGTGATCTAAAGTAAGCTGGTAAGGATAAGTAATCGACTCGGTCTGTGCTTTTTATTAGAAAACTGACATACTAGAATTTGTTTAATATTAATAAATAACTTACTCTGTTGTTCTTTGCCCGTTCCTTTGTCGCGAGCTGACACGTGTACGATGCCATTCGCGTCGATGTCAAATGTCACTTCGATCTGTTAACAAATTTCATAACTAATCAACCTTTCGTCGCTATTAAAACATAGATACATAAGCGAAGAGGGACTTGAAGCTTTAACTGCTAGAGCGCCCGTCGCCGCGTCGTCCTGAGACATAAGTTGAAATGTCCCATATGCCATCGAGTATACAACTAGAAATAGTGACGAAATGTCATTAAATTTTATTGAAACTATTCTGACAAACCATTACGGTGACAACTGCGCTCCGATTGGCCAGCCCGAATGGAAGGGTGTCATCAATAATTTCACTTCAAAATGACCAGTTGAACTTGACCTTAGTCATAATGTACGAAAATTGAAAAATTACATATGTAATTACCGATGAAATGTGATGCCGTTTGTTTTGTAATTAGAACTGCCTCCGTGTCCGAACGGTTACCATGCCGGACTGCCACGCAGAGGTCCCAGGTTCGATTCCCGAGTCGGGAGAAATATTTATATGGCCTACATTTATTTCTCTCGTGAGTTTGGGTGTAATTTGTGGTAGTCTATGTGTGTGTCCATGGCACCCGCGACACAGGGTTTCCCTAGTGCGGGGCTATGTTGAGTGTGTACGTTACTATTATTATTCAATTCAATTCAATTCATTTATTCATTCGTTATTACAGGTACATGATATAGATGGTAATAATAATTTTATGGAATCTCTGCAATAAGCCAAAGTGGCATACTATTATTATAGATGTTTTGCTATTGTTCCCATACAACCGAATGGAACAGCCCCATAGTTAAGAGATCTATCTATCTTTATTACAATAAATACAGAATATTTTTGGAATATACGGAGATGTACTCACAGGCCAGTTGTTGACGCTGTACTATTACAGCTTTCTAATTTCTGTGCAAACGATTTGATATTTAAAAGTGATACAAGGCCCATTTGCCTGATCAGTTGCCAGGGATCGCCGGCCCTTATTTCGTCTCTATTTCTAGTTATATACTCGATGACCGGCACCTTTAAAACCGGAACGCAGCAATGGTCACATTACTGCTTGGCGGGGTTCGGACTACGGGCTCGCTTGCTCAGGTAACAGTGCCGTTCCCGTACAACCAAGAAGTTGGAAGGGCCATATAAACAAAATTTAAGTAGCGTGGGCCTAGACATCTACTCCCATTCTCCACTCGACATTTGTCCGAAACAACTACTGTCAAATAATACTCGACCAATTAAAAAAACGCATGATGTGAATGAAGCTTCATACTTGACATCAGAGAACAAAAAGAAACGGACACTCTTCGCCCCTCCCTAGCTTTAGATACCGCAACACGCCCCGCACATCGACGGTCACATTAACTGAACGACAACAACGCTGTCGGCGAGCGGTTTTCGCGCTAAGACGGCTTTGATATTTCAATATAGTTTTCATTTATTCATTACGCTACTAATTATAATGGTCGTGAATTGTGCTGTGTACGGCTGTTTACAATCATCTAAACTTGACAAAGAGAGGGGTTTCTTTCGTTTTCTGAAAGATGAAACAAAGAAAGCAAAAAAAAAAGAAATTGTCTGAGACTTATTCAATAACTGTTTTCTTTAGTGCGGAGTAATATATAATACAGATTTATTATATCAATATAATAAGATGCCATAACTTCGTGAGCTAGTAAACAAGTTCTCGAGTTTTCAATTTGTGTTGCCGATAAATATTGCGTAGTGAATATACCTAATTATTAACTAGGTAATGATAAACTGGGACACGCAATTTCAACTACTTTGGTTGCCTTATTAAAGGTACCTGTCCAAAATATAACATTATAAGGGCTTTTTATATATTTTTTAAATAAATCTTCAATTTAATCCTAATTAGTGAATTAATGAAAAATATAATATTATATCGATATAAATACGTAATGAACATGTGTAATTATTAGGAATCTATTAACAGAATTATAGATAACAAATTCGCGATAGAAATTTTCGCTATGTTGCCGCTCTGACCACGTAACGTAGTACGAGAAAGCTCTGAGTACCCTGCCACTTCACGAACACATTTGCGCGTGTGCAGGTAACGCCTTGCTGTATGTAGTAGTAGTAGGTTAATAACTTTCGATCGTTGTATGGAGTGTACGGGTGTTCTTGACATTATCTTTTGATTTAGTCGAGTATTACTTATTTCACAGTAACTGTGGCGAACCGGTTCTATATGCGCTCGGGACGATACGCGCGGGAAGACGACACGGCCTAGCGTGACGTCACGACGAGCGCCTGCAGCGCAGCGGCGAACTTGTCTTATCGACAGCCACAGGCGACGGTCGACCCTATTACTCGACCTTATACAATTATATGATATTTGCAAGCCAAGCTGTGTAATTGAGATGGCGAATATACCAGCTCTATAGTAATACAGTCCAGTTTTAGTTCACGTCCCATTAGGACATTAATTGGAACTGTTTTGGAAGGATGCGAATGCAGAACGGGAGTAGACTCCCGGATCATACCGAGACTTCTGTCTCGTTCCAGACTGACCTGAGGCACTCCTCTTGGCGCGGGTGGGATGCCAACAAGCGAGAACTGTCCCAGCAGTTTGTTGTCGGCCGCCATCTCACGCTCGCCCTGGTGCACCTTGATTTCCACCTGTGTTTGTCCATCAGCCGCTGCAGCAATTTTCAACGTATTATTTAATAGGCTACGGAAGTTCTTCTTAAATTGGAATATTATGTTTTTACTACCATATTATTATTATTATTTTTTTTTTTTTTTTGAGAAATTACTCCATCAGCGTCTTTCTTGAAATCAATGGACCAAGAAGTATATATCCGGTGGAAACAGTGGAATCATAATATGCTAAGAAAAAAATATATAAAAAAGGAGAGGCCCTAATAATGTACTTTGGGGCACTCCACTAGGTATGACATGCCATCTGAATATATAAATTATTCACGACTACTGCTTGAGATCTATTATTCATGTACGAAGAAAACTACACAAAAAGGTCACCTCCGATACTTATTTTAGCAAGTTTATTCAGGACAATATTAAATTATGGTCAATTCTATCAAAAGCATTTCTATAATCATTGTAGTCTGTCATTTTTGAAGACGGCGTAAAATGACATTGCAAGGTTGCCAGTTTTCATAAAATTTTTAATAGTCACGTAGTTGTCGTCGACAGTTTTATCGACAGATCGTGAAATAAAATACAATTTTGCCAAAAATGTCTATATTATGAATTTGACGGCGTTCTAATACTAATTGCATTATTGCCTTCTTTATTCTTATTTTGACAGTTGGCCTGCTAGTACCGAAAACGATTTTTTTTAAAACATTTTAATAAGGACGAATTTGATTATCTATATTGAATTAAAGCGAAAAACTTTAAGCAATATCTCCTCGACTTATTTTTTATAGATATAGTTCTAAATGCAGTGAATGTAAATACGAACACAATAGAAATACCATGAAATGAATTTATAAAGAGTAAAAATACTATGCCTAATTAGTTATTTACAATATAAGTATCTAGATGTGGCAAATAATTTATAAATGTAGCGTGGTTTCTAGGAAAGCCGCAGGCATTGAGCTTGCGACTAGCTGGTACTACGCTATGATCTGGCGCCGCTGCAAAAGTGCACGCGCATGGGCGCGGCACTGATCGACGGCGCTTAAAACACAAAACTAAACTTTATTCAATTACAAAGCGTATTTCAATCTATTCATTAGCAAAAAAAAAGATAAAGGCATTTTAACCGACTTCAAAAAAGGAGGAGGTACTCAATTCGAGGTTTTTTTGGGGTGAGTATTTTACGCGATTACTCAGACATTTGTGAATCTACTTCGACGATTCTCTTTTTGATGGAAAGGAGATACCTCAGCAGTGGTTACATTCAACTTTGAGGAAAAAATATTTCACTTCTAGGGGTGGCAAATTAGGGGACGAATGCGGTTTATTGGATCTCACCCACTTTCTGATAATCGATTTCAATAAAACTTGGCAAATAAATATAACTCCATAATCTTTTGAGGTCGGTTTTTTTAAAATAAAATAGTTATAATTATTTATTGAGCCGCCAAATAAAGACCGCAAAAGTATAATAAATATGTAACAAAATTGGTATGTAGTGACATGCTGTGTTGTCTTTTTTACTCATTTTAAGTTGCTTAACTTAAGTTCCGACACGAAATCGTGTTTACTCGCTAATAACACCAAAAATCTTACCTGTCGAGAAGACCTGACTTTTCTTAGTGGGGATCGTGGTATTTCTTGTAATGAGTTTGGTGAACACTCCTCCTAGGGTCTCGATACCCAACGAGAGCGGGGTCACATCCAGTAGAAGGATATCCGTGACGTCACCGGCTAGGACTCCACCTTGGACCGCCGCGCCAACGGCCACGGCTTCGTCAGGGTTCACGGACCGCGAGGGTGCGCGCCCGAAGATCTCTTGCACTGTAGATTGGACCTGGAGGAGAAGAGAGTAGGAAATGAGCACTTTATTGGACACATATAGAACATACTGCCAAAAAATCTCTTTGGTCAATTGCAGTTACCGCGCATGCCTTGCTATCCCGTTGCTATTTCTATTTTTAAAAGCATGAGAATAACAAAGAAAAATGGCCTTGTGTTGGGCAATTGTCAGAAAAGTTTCAAATTGAGAAAATCGTCGTGCTAGCTCTAAGGGCCTGCTGGCGTCAACTCGTAGCGGAGGCCAAGACCCACTTCAGGTCGCTGACTAGCGCAGGCAAAACACTATAGAAATACCATGAAATTAATTTATAAAGAGTAAAAATGCTATGCCTATTCTAATTAGTTATTTACAATATTAGTATCTAGATGTGGTAAATAAGTTATAAATGTAGCGTGGTTTCTAGGAAAGCCGCAGGCATTGAGCTTGCGACTAGCTGGTACTACGCTATGATCTGGCGCCGCTGCAAAAGTGCACGCGTATGGGCGCGGCACTGATCGACGGCGCTTAAAACACAAACTAAACTTTATTCCATTTCAAAGCGTATTTCAATCTATACATTAGCAAAAAAAAAAGAGAATGGCATTTTAACCGACTTTAAAAAAGGATGAGATTCTCAACTCGAGGTTTTTTTGGGGTGAGTATTTTACGCGATTATTCAGACCTTTGTGTATCTACTTCGACGATTCTCTTTTTGATGGAAAGGAGATAACCTCAGAAGTGGTTACATTCAACTTTGAGGAAAAAATATTTCACTTCTAGGGGTGGCAAATTAGGGGACAAATCCGCAGTAACAAATTTTTCAAAATATTTGTTACGAAAAAGGCAAAATTTGGATATAATAGACAAGGGTATTTTTCCATAACCCCACATTTCTTAGGCCTGCAGAGTGCGTGTTCCATTTTTAGTTCTTATATTCCGTCCAACCATTTATTTATAACAATACATTTTACTCATATTTTATTTATGAAGAAGTTTTAATCGTGGATGCGAGCGGGTTAAAAAAAGAATATATTTTCTGATTGGGATCGTGATGTTGCGTTTGACAATTTGTTTACTCAAGAATTAATAATTAATGTTAATAAGGATTCAGGCGATGATTCCCGTTTATATGGAGAAGAATCCGACGATTCGTTATAACAAACAACAAGAATTTATTATAATTTATTTCGTTTCATTATAATTTATTAGACAGGTACCAAAATTTATCAACTTGAATGATAAAAAATTTATCAACTTGATTTTTGTTACATAATCTGATGGCTCGATAAATATCGGAGCTAAAAAGCACGTCACCTCACTAAAATTAAATAATAAAAGAGTCCAGGATACTTCCTGGACTCTTTTATTTTTTAATTTTACACTTTTTTGTCTATGGTTGTATGTCAACAATTACGGAATTTCGGAGGCATGCAATTTGTCAAGTTAAATAAACGCTTGTTTCTCACTCGGTCTTCTTCTGAATTTGGCGATATCAAAAGTAGTTTTGCCGAGACTGACCTTGGGCATTCGCGTCATGCCGCCGACAAGCAGCACCTCGCCGACGTCGCTGCGCTGCACCTCCGCGTCCTGCAGCGCGCGCTGGCACGGCGCCACGGTGCGTTTGATCAGGTCGCCCACCAGCCCCTCCAGCTTCGAGCGGGTCATCTGCCATCAAACATAAAAGCACCTAGTATATTAGGAAGATGGTTCCATGTCATGAGAATAGAAACCATTTATTGCATAACGCCACAACACAATAACACACAGTAAGAAATTGAAAAAAAAAAAAATTAAAACCAACAAATTAAAACAAAAATAAATAAGAATAACAAAAAAAAATTAAATAATATTAATTTATTTCTTTAAAATCTTTTACTAAGATTTTATTCATTAAAATCTTAGTAATAGGTAATGAAATGACCACAAATCTCAACATTATTGTGTACTAAGTAGATGTCACATGTGCGACGTGGCGTATGTAAAAGGAAGCTGATTTTCAGTGGACCCTAAAACTGAGTAAGTATCGGACGTGTGTGTGGCGTATAAACTAAAATAAATTGCGTATATATTTCTGTAACGTAGTATGTCGTGTTCTTATGGTATGTTCTCTTATATTTATAGAATACTTAAATAATTAATTTGAAACATACATACAATGATAAGCGTGTACAATGTAGTGTCCAATATTTACAACAAACAAAATAGAACTTATTTAGTTTAAAAAGAAACCCATAGCGATATTTGTGTCACGTCACGCAGGAGAACCGTGTCAGGGTTAGAAATACTCATGATTTTTTTTGAAAAAATTGAAAAAACCGAAAAGACACGATTGTTGAAAAAATCATAATTAATCACGATTTTTTGTTTTTTTCATTTCATCATACAGTTTAACTACATTTTTGCTTAAGACGTAGTAATTGTAAAAGATTAATTAATCGCGGCAAGCCAGTTATTTTTATTTAAGTATTATAATAATGATGTTGATTTCGCAGATGTAAAAGACCCTAATCTTTAAAATATAATTTTCTGATTTTATGTTGATTTCTGTGAAAGAAAATAAAATTAAACATATTTAATTAAATCAGGATTTAAATCATAATTTAAATCTTGCCGCGTGCCCCGGCTTACGAGCCAATAAAGTGCGGCAGCTCCGTCTTGTTATAAGCAAACAGGTTTCGTCCTGCATCGTAGGTACTTACCACGCATAACAGCGTGCAGTCTCCTATGCCATAAAAGGCCATTATTATTTTAACCAATAAAAAGTGAAGTGTGTATACAGATTTGAAACAGGTTCTCAACAGGTTAACAGGTTTTCAATTAGGATGTATTTTTATGTGTACGTATGTTACGTGTCTACTCAGAAATTTGTGAACCGATATCGATGGTACTTTTTTTTATGGAAAGGGGGTACCTCAGTAGTGGTCCGATTCAATGGATTTCATCCACTTTCCGTTATCCGATTTCAATAAAACTTTTTTTTTACAAAAAATTGTTCTAATCATTTACAATTAAAGGATGATGACCATTATTGCCCTTACCTCACTTAGCATGTCCAGCAAATTCATATTTTTAATTATCCTACATTCATTAAAACTAAAAATTTCTGATAATACGCAACAGTGGTGCGTTCAAAGTTGGCGCGCACATTGTATGGCCGTTTCCCTATGCTCCTACTGGGTGCTTCTACTGAACTAAATATGTCCTTATGCTCTTACTGGTAGGACCAAAAGGATAAATGTCCTCGTGCTCCTACTAATGCACTGTAATATTTATATGTAATTAATATTGTAGTACTCGATTGTATGTTACCGATTCTCTAAGCTTATCAGCCTCTTCAGTGAAAGCTATTAACGTACTTACATATAATTTATATTACATATAATTTATAATTACATACAATTTATAAACAATGAAACAAAAGACATTTAAAATTTTTGATGAATTGATATTCAATTATTTTTTATGTGAAATTACCCCACTAGTTTGTTATAATTATTAAAACGAACACTCAGAAAAAATTCGTTCGATCCGGGATTTCACGTAAAAAAGAATTGAATATTAATTCAATAAAACTTTAAAAACAATGAATAACGACATCTCTAGCCAGGGCTGGTAACTGTAAAGGTATCTAACTGGGTGACGAAATGCTTAAAATTTCTCATAGATGGCGCTACGACTAAAAGTAATTGAAAAAGCCGAAGATACGACAACAAACATAGAAAAATTCGTGAGGTTCGCTGGTTCGTTCCGTGTCTTAGTTGGTATGTCGTCTGCCACGGTATGCTAGAAGACGTCGGTTCGAATCCGGCCGGATCGTAGGAATTTTTTCTGTGTTCGATCTTTGTATTAATAGTTATAACAAAAGTCATTTTACTTGTCATTTTTACATGTCAGTGATTTTTCTGAAGACGGAATAGATTTCTTGTTTTTTGATAATTAAATTAAAAATATGTGAAAGTATGGAAAAGCCTACACTTATAAAAAGGGAAGGTGGAACAAAATTGTTACACTCATTCATCAGTTCTATAAGCAAAAAAACAAAAGTTTTATTTTTATTCTAGTTTCTTCTAGTTCACTGTACTTATTAGATACGACGTCACGATAGGAGCAAAGGACATATTAATCCTCGTGCTCCTACCAGTAGGAGCATGAGGAACGGCCCATTGCAACTTATACCGGGTGGAACAGAACGACCGACAAAGCCGAAAACCGTGAAGAGTCTTAAATATGTACTTAACTGTACTGAAAGTCTTTTTGCTCTAAGTGTAATAGTTTCCAAGTTATTCAATGATAAAGATTTGCTTGAAAAGTCTGTATTGTCAACCCTACATCATAAAACACAGCTGTTTGGAGGCAACTACCGGGAGGTACTCAGGGCAAAAAACTTTGAAATTTAATAGGTCGCTGACCTCCGTCGTTGATCAGCACCCCATCAGTCGCTTTCTTTGATCAATCACTTTGTTTGATCGGTCATCATGTGAATCATGATTAATTATTCGGGTATTTTATTGTATTATTTTGAGAGTAATTAACACCCCTAAATTCCGTGTTTGACGACCCAATATTTACATTTACCGAAAAAATGCACCTCTCATAGAATCTTCGGGAGACATGTTGTTTCTAAACTATGCGTTGTTATAAACTACCTACAACAACTTAAGAAAAGTAAAGTTTTCTAAATGATTCTGGCAGGAGTTCAACCATGTTTTCTGCGTCATAAGATAAGACTAACTTAAATAAACATAACTAAATTAAGTAAACACGTTCTACAACATGCGTCAAATACTCAAATTACAATAGTCTCGTAACCCTTAATAAATTGAAGAGTTCATTTTAATGAGATCAACATTTAAAACGAAAATTTCTGTTAACTTGAGATGAGTAGTTGAAATTTTAATAAATGTAATGTGAAAATAAATAAATCGGTGCTTGGAGGTCTGCAGACCACCTCCACGGTTCGTTTTCTTATTTTTGAGTATCGATTATCACATTGTTAAATTTGATTATTTATTACAATTCATTAAACGACCTGCAATTACCTTACTTTTACTTTTGAATTGCTCATGGTACTTATACCAGACAAGACGATTATTGCGAAACCTATTTCTTTATCATAATTGTTTTTTTTAAATTAACATTTAGATATTAGTTATCAATGATATCCGATGCGTACGCCGCCGCCGCACTGTGATTCCCACATAGGCCATAAATCAAAAAAAATCATTGGCTTATCCCGGTTAGATCAACTCACTAAGTTAGTAACTAGTTAACAAGCTTCCAAAAACTATAAATATCAATGTAATTAGGTCACGTTATCATTCACTTTTGTGCATCGGAAGTGAGCGCATCGCGAGACTAATTATCACCACGTGTGAGTCATCGAAACTTAATCACTTTGTTTTTGAGTGTCACTATTCCAAATCAAGTGTTTACGTGTTGTGAAAGCATGGAGATCCAAGAGCATGGTATGTACTTTTATTATCAATTTTTTTTAATTTTTTTATGCATACTTTTTTTTATATAATTTTTTTATTGAAGGCAGTTTTTTGGTGAAAATTTTTGGCATAACTTAATTTCCTTTAGACCTACAACTTTTGGCTGCGCTGAGCTGCACCTGAGGTATATGGTTTTTGAATAAGGAGTATGTCCTTATTAAGAGCTATAAGTTTCATTTGCATCTTGCTGCCTCTTCTTGGCTTAAAGGGGTGTCAAAGTATGCATGTCCATAGTATTGAATTTTTAATTTTTTTTTAAGTTCAGCTTTCATATTGTTTTAGGTACATTTTTCAAATGTTCTGTATCGAGGATGACAATTTTTGATATTTGGCACTCTAAAGTGGGTAATCCAAATGAAAAAATGCAACACGTCCTGAGCACTTTGACCGAAACATCATCCCTTTCTGACGACATCGAAAATATTGATTTAGAGACTTTAAGCCTTAAAATTAAGAATATTTGTAAACGAATTTCCCACTACTGGGCAAAGTCGAATCGTACTAGATCTAAATTCTTAGAAAAATATTCAGATTGGCTGCATGTCGTTGAAAATATTGATGTACAGCGAACTGAGTTACGTGTATCTCAGAGCTTTGACGAAGTTAAACCATCAACTTCTTCATCGCATGGCCGTCCGAGAATTAACTTTGACGACACCAGTAAACGTACAAAAAGGAGAAGATTGGCTAGTTTGTCTAACCAAGACCCTTCTCTTGTACAGTCATTGCTCAATGCGTCCGATAGCTTGTCTTGTCCTGAAATCGATTCTAGCGAAGTTTTATCGCTCATTGTTGAAGCTCAGTTAACTCGACATCAATATATATTAGTAAAGAAATTTATAGACAATAAGTTTTCAAAAAACCATTTTCCCATCTTACCAAAGTGTCGTGGAATCTAAAAAACACTGTTATCCTTCAGATATTACTGTTACAGAATCATCCGCCGAAGTCGAACTTCAAAGTTTATTAGATCATACTGCCAATCGGATTCTCAAGTCTCAAAAAGATGTTTTGGATAGTGTACCTAATGAGTCTCTAGATAAGATATCTTTGATAGGGAAATGGGGTTTCGATGGCAGTACAGGGCATTCAGAATATAAACAGTGTTTTTCTGACTCCACTCTTGAAGACAGTAGCCTGTTTGTTACTTCGTATGTGCCACTTCAGCTTGTTTTGACAACAGATAACAAAGAAAATTCAGTAGTTTTGTGGAAAAATCCTCGTCCTTCATCAACTCGATACTGTCGTCCTATACGCCTCCGATATTTGAAGGAATCGACTGCAGTGTCAGTTGAGGAAGAAGCTCATTTTAAAGATAAAATAAGGAACTTGCAGCCTACTGTTTTCAAGGAAGAAGATCGCGAATATCGCATTACTCATTGTTTGCAACTTACTATGGTAGATGGTAAAGTGTGTAATGCACTTAGTGGTGTTTCTTCATCAAAATGTTTTATTTGTAACGCCTTGCCCAGTGAAATGAACAAAATTGACGAATGTTTAAATAAGGAAGTCGATGAGAGTAAATATGAATTTGGTTTATCACCTCTTCACGCGTTAATACGTTTTTTTGAATATTTTGTTCATGTCGCGTACAAGTTAGATGTTAGGAAATGGCAAGCTAGGTCCGCTAATGACAAAATGCTTGTTGCTGCAAAAAAATCTTATGTTCAGACTCAATTTAGAGAAAGATTAGGGCTTATAGTGGATAAGCCTAAAAGTGGCGGAAGCGGAACATCAAACGATGGTAATACAGCCAGGCGGTTTTTCTCGAATTCAGAAATTTCCGCTGAAATTACTGGGATCAAGAAGGATCTCCTAGATCGTTGCTGGATCATCCTTCAATGTTTAAATTCGGGATATAATATTAATAAGACGAACTTCGAAGAGTTCGCTTTAGAGACGGCTCGGCAGTTAGTTGCCGAGTATCCGTGGTATAACATGCCTGCTTCCGTTCACAAAGTTCTAATTCATGGTGCTAATGTTATAGATTACGGTTTGTTGTCAATCGGAGAGTTGTCTGAAGAAGCAGCTGAAGCGACTAACAAATACATCAAGTCTTTTAGAAAAAATCATACGCGTAAAATGAGTCGCATTGTGACCAACACAGATTTAGTAAATAGGCTGCTTCTTCATTCAGATCCCTTCATAACAGGTCTACGAAAGTTACCTGTTAAAAAAAAAGGTGTACTGTCAAAAGCTGTATTAGACTTGTTATGTATTTAAAGTTAATATTGTTGAGATTTAATGTATTTTGGTATAATTTGTGTTTTGTTTGTATTTTGTAAAATGAACTTTTTTATGTATTTTTATTGTTTTAATTTATTCATTTGTGGTTATTGTTAATACAAATAATCATTATTTACACAGTTTTACCATTAAAAGTCGCAGTATAAAATGTTTTAGATACATCGTCTAAAAACAAAATTACTGCGAGACATTTTTACACCTAAATATTGTCAAATATTTTTTAAAATGTATAATTTTATTAATTTACGTTTACCTAATCATATTTTAACGTAATAAAATAAAAAAATAATAATAATTTCGGAGTTACGTATTTATGACCGCCTTAGTATGGAGCGTGAATCACCGTGCGCCGCGCGCATCACTATGCAGAGTTGCCAAGTAAGCAACTTTGTCCCTTTATGTGACGATTTGACATCAAAAGCGTCTTTTATTTCTAGCGACAAAAAAAAATTTGGTATTTATTGGTGCGTATTTAATTAGGTTTAATCGTTTAAAATTTAATATTATTTTTATCTTAGTATTCAGGAGTCTTTTGCTTGTACTGTGACCATTCTGTTTAGTGATATTTGCTTTAGTCTAATTGGTAACACTTTTTCATTCATAAATTAGTCCAAAATGACTGGTTGTTTGGTAACTCGTGGTCTCATGTTTTTCTCGTGTTTACAACACAAAACAACGTTTACTTATTAATTTTTGGGTTGTGACAGCAACTTATTGGAATAGTGCTGTTTATAAGTAGTGTTTGTGTTAAGCAAGTAAAGTGTATTAGTGTGTTTGTGTGGAAAACCACATCGGCGTGTGACCGGCACACCCAGGAATGTGTCTGAAATGTCTGAATGTCTGCAAGAGTAAAGGGGACGTGGACTAATCGAACATCCTTTTAATTTAAAGTAAGTTCAATGTTTTTTAATTACCTATTCAAGTGAGTACACTTATTTCTTTTGCGAGTGCCAATGACACGAACGCCGCCTGTGGGGCAGTAGATGTACTAACACGATTGATTCGCGTAGGGTTGTTGCACCGCGAAAAGTTTAAATCTGGACGAACATATTCCAACTGCTCTGATTTTCATTTAAAGTAAATAAAACTCATGTATGTAGGGTTCTTAACGTGACATTTTCGGCTTTGTCGGTCGTTCCGTTCCACCGTGTATAGGATACATCCAACACAAGACACACGTTTGCGCGCAATGTATGTGCAAACCTTGAACGCACCACTGTTCCGAATTTGCGGCGTAAAGGTGAAGAAATAAATACCTTGAGGTTCATGTGCTTGGGTCCTGAAGAATCCATGGTAAGATATGGAAGGTTGATGTCTGTCTGCGCAGAGCCGGACAGCTCGATTTTCGCTTTCTCAGCGGCTTCCTTCAACCGCTGCATTGCCATCGCGTCCTTTCGGAGATCAACGCCTTGCTGAAAATAGACGAGTACTGTAGACATATGCATACCTCATCGAGTATATAATCAGAAATGGAGACGAATTCATCGGTAATTAAATAATATATGTAATTTTCCAATTTTCGTCCATTATAGCAAAGCTCAAGTTAAACTGGTCGATTTGAAAACAATTGATGACACCCGTCAATTACTTCGAATTTGGGCTGACTAATCGGACCGCAGTAGTCACCGTAATGATTTGGCAGAATAGTTTTTCAAACAAATTAAATGATCGCTCATCACCGACAGGGAGTCCACCCTCACACTCTGGAACCGAGTCGATGCTGTATGGTTTCAGAGGAGCTTTCTCCGACGTACAATTTGGTTATAGAATGAACTCCATGACGGGGTTTTCCCGCAGGAATACACCATGGAGTCCTTCAAAAGGGGTTTGAGAAGGGTCCTAAAGGGTCAGCAACGGGCTTGTGACGCCCCTGGTGTTGCAGGCGTTCATAGGCGACGGTAGCCGCTTTCCATCAGGTGGGCCGTATGCTTGTTTGCTGCCTACATAATTAAAAAAAAAAGACATTTCATCTCTATTTCTGGTTACATACCCTATGTGTGGTGGTCACATAACAAATATTCACGTGTGTACTATACCCCCGGTTTGCCACGCGAGTGGCCCGCAAAGGCCCAGACCGCGCGTGTCACATATTCATTTACAATTATTTATATACATTGTAAAAGTGATTAAAAACCATATTGAACTCCAATTAATCATTAATTTCTTCGCCCAGAATTTCCAACGTGATAAAAAAAAACTCACATCTCTCTTAAAATCGTCAACCAAGAAGTTGACTATAACGTTATCGAAGTCTTCTCCGCCCAGGAGGGTGTCGCCGTTGGTAGATTTCACCTCGAACACACCCTTCTGGATCTCCAGCACTGAGATATCGAAGGTACCACCGCCCAAGTCGTATACCGCAATACTGAAATAGAGATTTGTTTTGTGCATGTAGTGTAAATAATAAATATGAGATTGTAACACTGTTAATGACAGTAGAGCTCCCTGTGAGTTTGTCCAGGGAAATACTGCCACCATGCCTATTTCTGCCGCCAAGCAGTAGTGTGCGCATTACTGCATTCCGGTTTCGAAGGGTAAGGGTGCTGGTGAAATTACAGGCAAACGGGACTTGTCAACTTATGTCACAGGGTGAAGGACGCAGTGGCAATGACCCTAAAATCTTTGTGAATTACACCCAAATTTACGAGAGAAATAAATGTAGGCCATACAAATATTTCTCCCGGCCCAGAACCTCTGTGTGGCAGTCCAGCATGATGACCCTTCGGCCACGGAGGCAGTTGTTATACAATAAATGTCTGTGCGATTATAACCCGAACACATAGCGACATGCCCGGGGAATATATCCACAAGTTTTTCTGGCACTTAATTTATCACCACACTACTATAAAGTTAAGCGGCTTTGCTAGTGCTAAATTAGAAAAGAAACTCGCCAAGTGCGAGTCGGGACGCACTCACGATGGCGTAGAATTGTTACAACCAAATGTTCGGTAAAACTGTTAATAAAATAATTGCACGGGTGGTCAACGTTGTAAATTAATTTACAATTTTTACATTATAATCATTCAGCATGCGTAGCATGGCTGTATATCGCATGCGATACGTGATAAACCTCCCCGTGACATATTTATTTTAATCGACAAATCTATGCTGCTATTATTAAAATTTTATTTTGTTTTAGTAAATTTTAAATACATAGTTATAGTTGTTGTCGATAGTTTTATCGATAGATTGTGAAAGGTAAAATTTTGCTAAAAATGTTTAAATTGTGAATTTTATGACGTTCTAATTATTAGACTGCGTAACTGCGTTATTTTCTTTATTCTGTTTTTGACAGTCGACCTACTAGTATCGAAATCAATTTTTGATCATATACTTCATTTTATAACAACAGGTGGATTTGTTTATGTAAATGTGTCTTTGTATTTTTAATAGACATAGTTCGAACTTATAAAAATTAAATATTCAAATGGACCTGTGCCCAGTACTAGGGACGAATAACGTGCCGATGACGATTTATATGAAATATTCGGCTATTTTTTGCATAAACGTAACCAACATTCAGTCGATAGTATATTTATCGATTGCAAACACTAACTGCTTGCAAGCGGGCAACACTTTAGCGCAATGAACTGTCATTTTACTCCATCATAAAAAAACAGACTGTAAGTACAACGAGGGCTCCCGTCACTCGGTTACGCGATAAGTGCCTACGATAAGAGTACCGCCGATGGTGCAAGCGCTCAGACAAATCTTTCATTTACATTACAATCCTAGTACAGCCCCAGCATTCGGTTCCGCACGACTGCACACGGCAGTCAACGTTATTTTCACCTCTCTGAGCGTGGCCTTAGGTTCGTTTTTCGTTGTAGTGAGCGCCTGGTGTCATTACTCAGATTTAGTAGGCTACTACAGCGTAGGTGTTTTTTATTTTGCATGAGTGATGTATCTATTACGTAGTAACTGTAATCTGTGATACAAGTAAGATACTCTGAGCGACCCCTTCCTAATATATAATTATATATAATACCCTACCTAATACATCTTCCTAATCATCTTCTTTTACGTTAAAAGGGAAATTGTTTTAGGGCGACCATGATTTGTGTTTTAGCCTCTCCTGTAAAATGTTGTCTAAAGAACTTATTAGGTTTTGTTATGGGACAGCTGTGTAGTTTTGAACAACATTGTCTAATCTCTCGCGGTCGAATTATTATAGTTAAAATAAATCTTGTTAGATTTGTAAATTGCAGAAAATAAAGTCACAAAGACACTTACATCTTGTCATCGGTCTTGTCCATACCGTAGGCGAGTGCCGCGGCTGTCGGCTCGTTGATAACACGTAGTACGTTAAGTCCCGCAATTTGACCTGGCGAACAATAATTGCAACTTTTTTATTTAAAAAACGACTTCAAAAGTTCATGGGATTACATCTATTCGCCAAGTTTCATTGAAATCGGTTACCGGAAAAGTGCGCGAAACCCGATTCATCACCTAGTTTGCGATCCTTAGAGGTGGAATATTTATTCAAATTTAAATGGGACCAATACAACATCTTTCCAACAAAAAAAGAATCATCAAAATCGATTTACAAATGCCGAGAGTTATCGCGTAACATACATACAATATTGACTATTAAGAACCTCCTCCTTTTTGTTGAAGCCAGTTAAAAAAGTAAGTGGCCTAACAGTTTATACTGTGGGCCCTGGATGAACAAGGCCCAATAGAGATATTATTTTTATTACAATATATAATAATATATAATATGTTTGGAATATACGGAGACGTACACCCAGGTCAGTTGTTGGCGCTGTGCTATTCCAGCTTTCTAATTTATGGTTTCTGTTTATACAGACTTTATCCAGTATGCAGCACTGAATAAAGTCAGTGTAAACAGACTGATTTGAAGTCAGGGCCTGACTGAATGAGGTTCCTATGCGGGTTTTTCTCGCACAAGTAATACTGCCCGTGTAACCAAGAGGTTGATCTGGAAGGGCAGTAAAAACAAACCTTAAGTAGAAAGATGTGTCTGTACTTACCGGCATCCTTAGTGGCTTGTCTCTGCGAATCGTTGAAGTAAGCTGGTACGGTTATAACGGCGTTTTTAACGGGTTGGTTCAAATAGGCTTCGGCGGTCTCTTTCATCTTCATGAGCACGAAAGCACCGATTTGTGACGGAGAATACACTTTTCCATCACTGCCTGGAAAGTCAAGCAGGGTTGATGTTTTAGTGGAAAGAGACAAAGTATATTACAACACCAGCAATTAACACTGCACTATTTTAAAAATTGCTCACTCAAAGCTTTAAATCTCAAAGATCTGGGGACATTGATATTTTACACCCCGAGAAGTAAGTTGACACATCTCATGTGCTTGTAATTACAAAAATTCAATGTCATTCATTCATTCATTCACCCAACAATAAACAGAACTGCCATTCGTTCCTTTAAAAAACTTCAAATAGAAATTTAAAAAATGAAATCAGAGTTATATGATTATACAACCCCTTTCCTAGAACCATACTACATTCCATTTTCCAACTGCTGTTGGAATGTACCATGCTACATTACAACTGCTGTAGGAATGTAGCATGATTCTAGAAAAGCCGCACAAGTTTTAACCGCGACTAATTACTACTATGCTGATCCGAAAATGCGAAAAACGCGACCAGGCGCACGATTTGCGATTCCCATCACATGTTGTTAAAAAAAAAAGATTACATCTAACTTTAATAAATAATCTATTGCAATTAACAGTTACAAAATTTACAAGAACACAAAATTTACAAGAACGCAAAATCAACACCGAACCAATGGACAGTATTAGAAAATTAAAACAATTGAATGAAAAGACTACCAGTCAAATATTTTTTTAAATTAGACCTAAAACGTAAAAGGAAGATAACTGATCCGACTTGAAAAAATACTGGATTCTTTTTGGGAAAGACGTTTGGGTACGAAAAAAAGATTAATTGTCTTTGGCTTTTCAGAAACTTACCCTGTACCCAAGCATCTCCATTCGAAGCTCTCACAACCTTGTACGACAGATTCTTCATGTCCTGCTTGACCTCAGGGTCGTCGAAGCGACGCCCGATCAAACGTTTTGTGGCATAGAAAGTGTTGCCACTGTTGGTGACCGCCTGCCTCTTCGCCGGCATACCAACGAGGCGTTCGCCATCTTTGGTGAATGCTACGTGTGAGGGAGTTGTGCGGGATCCTTCGCTGTTTTCAACTACCTGTTCACAAATATTATAATATTAAGTGACGGGACGAACAAGTGTGCGCCCGATGGTAAGCTACACGCCTGTCCATAACAGTTGCAGTGCCATTCAGCTCTTTAAATCGCAAAGATATGACGCGCAATGCCACTGCGCCTGTCACCTCAGGGTGAGACATAAGTTGACAAGTTCCATGTGCCTGTAATTTCACCAACACCCTTATCCTTCAAAACCGGAACACAGTAATGGACGAACTCTTTCACAAGGAGCTCTACTGCTACTAACTACTGCTTTATTGCGGCGGAACAGATTCGAATTTTTGTGACGATATTGTATATAGCATAATGAAGTTTATGGTCATACGTATCTAGATTGTATGTTACAAAATTGACTATCAAGTTCGTTATACAATGTACAATATCGTTAAAAAAATTCGCTTCCATTCCGCCGCAATACATTGAGCCTAATGAAATGCTGAACAATTCAGAATTTGATCTGTATGCGGCCGTACAAAATATAAGATGCGCTGCTATGTTTCTTTGGAGTCACACTACCTTCTTAAGTGGTTTCACTGTTTCTATTATCTGTCAAACTTTTGACAGTAACAGCCGTGTTTATACTACATTAAAGGTGGTTTTCCACCGGCGAGACGAGAATTGAAATTTCGCTGTCCTATTTCCCCCAAAAATGGTTGTGGATAGTGCTGTTTAGTTTGGCTGAAGCTTTTAACCTTCAACTTCTTCACAAAACGACTTCAAAAATTCAAAAAAGGAGGAGGTTCTCAATTCGCCCGATATTTATTTTTATGTATGTTACGTACATACTCTTTTGTAATTTGTGAACCGATTATGAAGATTCTTTTTTGTTGTTGCAAAGAGTACCTCAGAAGTGGTCCCATTTAAATTGAATTGAAGAAAATATTCCACGTTTAAGGGCGGCAAACTAAAGGATAAACGACTTTTGAGGTCGGTTTTTTTAGTACTCTGTACTGAGATTATTAAATCTCTAATCGTACGTACCCCACGACGATATTAATAGTCATCACGATCTCGCGCGAGAAATAGTGTTTCCGTGCATAATACTTTATGTAAGCAACAATACGTCATCAACAAATATTTCAATTCAAAGATGCGCTAGAAGGGAATTGAAATTTTTCCATACAAATTTCAATCCTCGTCTCGCCTCGCATGTGGAAAAGTACCTTAATACTTGGCGGCAACTAACCTCTCACACAAGAAACTCTGCTGCTAGTAAAATAACGTGTAAATTAAAATACCTTGGGCGTTTTGCCCTCCATGACTGCGACGCAGGAGTTGGTGGTGCCCAAGTCAATGCCGATGACGGCGCCGCGAACTGTATCTGACCTGGGAAAACAGACGACTTTACAATAAAATTAAAAAAAAAACTATACAAATCAGTATACTGCAAAAAGGCACCATCTGTAATCCAACTACTCGTCATTATTATGCGTTGTATGTGTCCTTACACATATAAGCCGCGCTCTTATTTTGTATAGAGTTACCCTACTTGTTCTTATTCTACTATGGTTTAAGAGCTAAAAAGTTTAAGTAGTTGAGGAGTTCAGGTTGCAGCAACAGATCCGTATTGTTATCATCTATAATATTACCAATATTATACACGTATACGGTAATGATATTGTAGGTTCAGATTGACTATAGCAAGTTTTGTTGTGAGCTGTCAATTGAAGCAACAGGCAAGTTATCATGCCAGTTCATAATTTCAACTGTCAGTTCTTTGATCTTGCACCTCCGCAAAGGTCTTAAGTGCATCGGGCACAGGGACCGCTCATGGGTGCTACTTACAGAAGTCAAACTTGAGTACACACAAATATAATAAATAACAAAATCGTAAGTATCAAAGTATCAATGGCCTCTACACCCTCATACTCAGTACTATTTTTTGACTGTCTTTAATTATAATACTTGAACATTATGCGACCACCACTAATCATAAATTTGAATGTTTTTACAAAACAGGTTGTAGTAGTACCTCTACACCCTCATACTCAGTACTATATTTTGACTGTCTTTAATTATAATACTTGAACATTATGCGACCACCACTAATCATAAATTTGTATGTTTTTACAAAACAGGTTGTAGTAGCACTGTATTGTATTAATTAAGACCTAACTGAAATTAATTTGATTCAACTGTTGAACAAAGACCTATGTGCAAGACTGCTTATTCTCAGGACATTGTACATTTTGTTCGCTGTTCTTAATATGGATATCAGATTGACTGGAGTTCCGAAATGAAATTATATATAAAAATTCTGAAAACACATATAGATAGCCCTTATTTTGAACAACGAGATTATGTATTTATCCTCTTTTCACTGTATAATCACATCAGACTCTGTTCTTAGGATGAGTCAAATTTATTGTCAAATATACAAATAAATCTATCTTTATTGAGCCTTCAAACTAAACGCTTATAGAAGCGCCGCCGTCACGCCACTACTAATTGTCATAATACGCCTGAAGAAACTGTATTTGTATAACGCAAAAAGAAACATAAAATACAGAAAGACATAATAGTGACCATTTTATTTTTCTGATCTAATTGAGTTATTTATACGTTGTACCTTTTTTAAGGTGCGTCCACAATTTTTTATTTGTTTTAACTTTATTTGTAATTTTTATTTTTAAATCGGCCATTTCAAAAAGGGTCCACTGAAAACCAGCGTTGTAGCTCCGCCGCAGTATTTGCTGAGTTGGGCCCTTTTCAGTGCAATACACGATAAGCACAAAATCATATTGTATTTGTGACATGTGTTTGTGCTGAATAAATTTATTTTCTTTCTTTCTCTCTATAAAATATTTGTAAAACCAGTTGCAGCGCCACTATCACGTATGGCCTATATGTATTTCCCTCGTGAGTTAGGGTGTAATGTGTGTGTCCAAGGCACTCGCGACACAGGGCTTTCCCTAGTGCGGGGCTATGTTGAGTGTGTGCGTTATAATTTAAAAAAATTGTGAACAAAAAACTAATGTAGCGCTACAGATGCGCGGCTGTTGCGCCACTGCAGGCAGCGCCTCTACAAACTTCTAATTTGAAAACACCTAGAACGTTGAAGAATTGATACTTCTTCCAAGTGTTTTCATAGCAGTTTCATCACAATATTTTCATAAATCACTAAAGCAAGTAAAGTAAGTACTGCCTTCTTACCTGTTTCTGCCGCCAAGCATTACTGCTTTCCGGTTTTGAAGGGCAGGGATACTGGTTAAATTATATTAGGTGAATCAAATATAAACGGTAATTTTTAAAATTATATTTATTGAATAATATTATACAAAAACTATACCTTCAACATTTTTCAATATAGTCTCCTGCATTATCTACACACTTCTGCCACCGATTTGGAAGCTTGAATATTCCTTCTTCATAAAAAGATTGAGGGCGAGTTGTCAACCAATCGCGCACGTGCTTCTCGACATCGTCATTGCTTTCAAATCGTTTTCCTCCAAGTGATTCTTTCAAGGGCGCAAACAAAAAGTAGTCGCAAGGGGACAAGTCTGGACTGTAAGGAGGGTGTTCGAGAGTTTCCCAGCCCATTTCTTCCAATTTATCCCTTGTCAACAATGCGGTGTGAGGCCTTGCGTTGTCATGGAGAAGGATGACATCTCGTTTTCCACACGTTCTCGTCCATCCCTAAATTCTCTGGCCCACGTATACACTCGATTCTGAGACAGAGTAGTGTCCCCAAACTGTGCCCGCAAACGAGTAAAAATTTCCGAAGGTTTAACACCTTCATTTGCTAAAAATTTTATGACAATGCGTTGCGCAACAGATGGATGTACCTCTTGCTCGGTCATGGCTGTACTGACGGCAGAACACAACACTGCTGCGAATTAAGCTGTTACCCCCACTCCTATTAAACAAAACAACAACAACAACACCGCCACATCAGGTCCGAACGTATTTGGTACAGTCAACAGTAAAATTACCGTTTATATTTGATTCACCCTCGTATCAACTTTTGTCTCAGTGACGGGCACAGTGGCAGGGCCCCTCCGGTCTTTGCATTTGAAAGCTCTGAGTGGCACTGCAACAGTTATGGGCAGAAGGATCGCTTACCACATATTCGGCCCATCATGTGGTAGTATAAAATAAAATAAAAGTAATTTTTAATAAATTCACTCAAATTCAAATTAAAAATAATCTTTATTTTATAGGTAATCATTATTACACTTGAAATCGTCACAATGGTTAAACTCTACCACTCATTCATAAAGCAGATCTCAATCTGCCTTATGAATGAGCGGTAGAGTTTAACTTTAACTTTAAGTATTCTCAAAGAATGAGCAAGAAACTCTAGGGGTTGCTCTTTGTAAATAACATTTGTAAACATTCAACATTTATATATATTATTAAATACTTTTTTTTTTTAATTTGAAACATCAGAGATCGAGACTACCTCCATGAGCTAGACGGGTTACTACCACGGATTTTTGTCATCCAAGTATGCAGAAGTTGTATAATAACCTTTAGTATAAAGTTTTTGTTTGACTATAGCTTTAAACCTCATGAAAGGCAAATTTTGTATATCAACCGGAATCTTGTTATAGAAGCGTATACATTGCCCCTTAAATGACTTTTTTACTTTGTAAAGACGACTATCAAGAAAAGCTAGTTTATTTTTATTCCTCGTATTAATGTCACTATTTTTCATAAAGAAATTACTATTTCTTTTAACATAAATTACATTTTCATAAATGTACTAATGTGAGGCTAGTGTAAGAATGTTAATTTCCTTGAACTTATCTCTCAAAGATACTTTGGGGCCCAGATTATAATTGCCCTAACTGCATGTTTCTGCAGGATAAAGATTCTATTGATATTGGCGGCATTACGGTGAAAGTAGCTGAAGTAAACCAATCTAGCAGTTTCGACATCTGAAATGCACATAATTTCAATTCAGGGGCACAGCACTTAGAGCGGATCATACCTGGGTACTCCTATGGGAGAAACGTGTCTCTCGACTGGTCTTCTGAATCGCAGGTATATGTACCACTTGTACCTTTTTGATGGTACCACTAGTACTAATTAGTCTTTTTTGTATAATATCAAGTGACAGGATGAACAAGTTGTGCGCCTGATGGTAAGCTACACACCTGTCCATAACAGTTGCAGAGCCACTTAGAGCTTTATATCACAAAGATCTGAGGGGCACTGCCACCGCGCCCGTCATCCTGAGACATAAATTGACAAGTCTGTGTGCTTGTAATTTCACCAGCAGCCTTACCCTCCAAAACCAGATCACAGTACCGTGCTCATTACTGCTTGGCGGCAGAAATATTTAAGATGGCAGTACTTCCCTGAACGTTCACAAGGAGCTCTGCTGCTCCTAGTACTTATTTTCATAAGCAGTTTCCTAGTTGCATCTCATTTTCGTCTAACCTCCATCTTGTTACAATTTCGCAACTTACGCGTAAAAAGAAAACGCTTATACGGCCAAAGGTACATAATATATATACATAATACAACTAGTTTGAATTAAGAAAAGAATACGTCAGAAGATATAGGTTTATAATATATCCAAAGGTTGCCTAACAACACGATTTGAGGTTATGACGAAATTATGTTGTAAAAGCAATTCATTCTACTCACTTATTTCTGAACTGCACTCCATTTCGCTGGTAAATAGGAACTGTGGGCGCTGCAGCCTGCAATACCGAGAAATGTAATGAACTTTAACGGAAAACTGAATTCAGATAAGTCACATGTGGAACATCGGCCGCCTTCATACCGGTCGAGAATATATAGGAAATTTGATAATAAGGTCCATACAATGGTGATAATAAAGAAGCGATTGAATTTAGTGACATTATTGTTATGACATGCGATTTTCATTCGTTTTCAAAAATGCAGTATCACTTACACTTCTCAGAATTGTGGTAAAATTTCTGTGTGTATAATCTGAGCCTATCCCAGAGTGCTCTAAAACCTTTCGGCCGATCGCCCGCGTAGCGCACAACATTTTTATCACAATAATATCAACTATTTAATTTATTTTCAGATTTATTTCACTTCAAACAGAACATGTGGGTGACGCAACTTCATGAAAGAACGATTTTTTCTTTTTTTTCTAGCACACTTCGGTAATATTTTCTTGCCAGATGAGAAATGGCGCGCCCGGTGGAATGTTCTCGTTTTATCTAGTAATGGCATGAATTCGTTTTCTATGTACACAAGTAACAATTTTCATTGGATAAACGTATTTAAGAAACGTCGTTCACCAATCAGTGTCGAGCATTTAAATGTCATTTTTCGACATGCTCAATTAGAACGTACTTGCAATTATATAATGCGCTATTTTCTTGAACAGTTTGTGCGCTGCAAATAAAGAAGTTGAAGTAACAATAATCCGTCTACGAAGTAAATTGACATAACTTTGTTTCTTTCGTACTTTTTAAATATCTTTTTATATATTTTATATGTTGATGTGCGTAATTCTAGGAGTTTAATTTTTAGTATTTAGAGCTTCTTAAATTCTGTTATTTAGTTATGCAATGCTCATCTAATAAACTATAGCCATCTAGTGTAGAATAGAAATACCATAAAGTAACTTCTGCCACCTAGCGCCAATTGGGCACTGGGCACTACTCTTAGTTAACTAATATATTTTTCTTTAGCTAGATGGCGCTATTGAAATAAATACATAATTTAAAAATAATATTGTATAATTCATAGTTTTAAAAATATTAAGTTTTTAAGTTCAATTACTAATTTTATATTTTTTGGTTTGGAAGCACTTTTTAGTTATATAGTCCATAAATAATTTTTTGCCTTTTAATTTATGTAATTAGGTTGATTACATTGTTGCCAAAACCAATAAAAAAAAAATTAAGAAATCGTATAGTAAATACATTAACATCACAAATTGGAAAGATATATTAACATGCAGTTATACTTTCAACTACATTGTAATAAAGTATTTTTATGAATATACAAAAAAAAAACAAAAGCAACTAATGGGTTACGTTTCAGCAATATTTAAATTGTTTAAAAAGTGAGCCATAAGTTTCGAAGTCAAAGTCAAAGTCAAAGTCAAAGATTATTTATTGCATAGGTAAAATAAATTTACACTTGAAAACATTGACTTACAATTATATGGACGTCGGGTCCGCGCTAAAAAGTGTCCGCACTTGTACGAGTAAGGCGTTAAAATCGTATACAGAGCGTCAAACTCCGCTAAAACGTCACATTTAAGCTACTGCTCGTTCACTACGCTGACCTCCCTGAGAAGAACGAGCAAGAAACTCTAGGGATTGCTCTTTTCAAATAAACTTAAATGCTATGGAATACACTTTGAATCAAATTTGTGTGGATTCTGGAGCCATGTCGTCTTTCTATACATCTTTATCTAACACGTAGTCTTCAATTTTGTAATATGATTTTTCGATCAAAATATTTTTAATGTAGTTTTTAAACTTAGGAAATGATAAACTTAATATATGCTCCGGAATCTTATTGTAAAAACGTATACAGTTCCCCATAAAAGAGTTGTTTACCTTGGTTAAACGAAATCGTGGTACCATGAGTTTGGACTTAGCTCTAAGGTTAATATTATGGATATCTTCTTTCTTATTGAAATTATGTATATTTTTACGGGCATATAAAATATTTGAGTAAATGTACTGTGATGCCACAGTCATGATACCAGTCTCCTTAAACTTTTCTCTGAGAGATACCCGAGAGCCTAGACGGTACACAGAACGAATCGCTCGTTTTTGCAATACAAATATGGTTTGAATATCTGCTGCTTTACCCCACATGAGAATCCCGTAGGACATTATACTATGGAAGTAACTAAAGTAAACTAGTCTAGCAGTACTAACATCGGTAAGCTCACGTATTCTGCGGACTGCGTATGCAGCGGAGCTTAATCTGCTGGCCAGAGACGATATATGTGGAAACCACTGAAGTTTACTATCTAAGGTCACTCCCAAGAAGACTGCTTTATTAACAAGGTCTAACTTTTCTCCGTTTATTTCTATGCTTGGACTAGTCGATTTTACGTTAGGTAATTCAAATTTAACACATTTTGTCTTCTTGGCATTAAACAATAAATTGTTAGCATTAAACCAATAAACTACCTTAGAGAGGGTATCATTAATACGGTAATAGTTAATGTCACGTCTGTCTGTTTTGGATGTGTCATCAGCAAACAACACTATTTCGCAATGGTCCTTAACAACGGTTTCATATTAATTGTCGTAATACTTTTTTCAATTCTAAAGGTAGCTCATTAATATTCCGGGGAACCGGTGCGCCGCAGTCTGTTTGTCTGTATTGTTTGCTCGAATGACATGCAGCTAAAACGAACAGAGTACTCAAATTAAGTAGTAAATACTTACTTCTTTTCAGTCAGTACGCACTTAAATTTCATTCAAGAAAATGAAATAAAAAGTTATAGTAACGGAATACGACAAATAAAAATAAATGATATATAATAACTACATGAACTATAATTTCAGTTTATCAGTTACGTTTTTCTATCGCCGGGCCAGACATGAGGTTCTATATACATATATGAGGTTCTATAGGCTAGACTTGGGGTCCTATAGCCGGGCCAGATTTGATGGCCTGTCGCCGGGCTAGAGCGGGTCCACCGCCCTTGAGTTCTTCGCGCACCTGGTGTTTGCCACCTGGGCATACCGCGCTACTTGCTCCGCGCTCTTGAGTTCTCCGCGATTCCGTACAACTCTAGGCGTCCGTGACTACCGTACGGGACGTCCTACGCGTGTGACCTAGTGCTCAAGCCAAGTATCTTATACGTACGCGGAACCATCTCCGTTGTACCCACCCTTGAACTTTCTAAAACCGATGAAATATAAGTATAAAACCATTTTTGAAGAGTTTTATTTATAATCTGTAGACTCGGGGACATAAACTCAGACTTTTCAGTATCTTTAGATTTACTAATATTTATTCAAGCGTCTTCTTAATTGAGAAACAATGTTTGTTGACTTTCGAACGAATGGTTCAATTAAAATTAGCTCTAAATCGTTTTAAGTATATACATGTCAGCCATATGGATAACAGTCAGCAAAAATATTGTTTAAAATTTTTTTATAGAAGTCATTATTGAACGTTGCAATATCACTTTTACTAGTTCTACGCTTAGAATAATAACGCATAAATGATAGTTTCATATCAAACGAACTGTCACAAGTGAGGCAAAAATCAAATTCATGTAGGTTAGTTTTAGTAGTAGGTTAATTTTCGGTTTTAGTGAACATTTATATAAAAATACAAGTTGAAACGCGTTACTTCCTTGTGGAATGTGATGTTAGTATCTATTTTATGTTTGTCTGCTCTCTTTTTTCGTTCGTTTGTAACTCTATTCACGTTTAAATTCCGCCGAGTTCTGAGTACCTGTTTTTGACGCCACTAGTGACAATACATAATTACTCTTGTACCGCCACAGCAATGCGTAGCAAATCTTTATTTAAACTTAAAATAATAACGCATATTCTAAGGCCGCAAACTCGTTCTCGGCCTGTCTTGGTGTGTCTCGGCGAGTGTGTACAGCCGGCATAAAAGATGACGTTGATCTAAAGACGAGTTTGTTTATATAAATGTTTAAGGAATTTCGTTTTGCTTGACGAACAACAATTCTTATGGTAATTAATAAGTAATTTTACATCATTCCTCTGAAACCAACGCGTTAAGTGACACGCTTACAACCAAAATATAAGCAATTTCATTTTAATAAAATGGATGGAGTATGTCCATCACCTACAACCGGTACGGCTTCTCAAATTTTTGCAAATGCTCTACAATTTTTCGCTAGTGCACAATGTCTCATTACAGAAAACTGGCCTCCAAACGCCGAGATTCCAAGTGAGTAAATTTAGAAATGATTACTAAAATCAATTATATTTTTAACCGACTTCAAATAAAGGAGGAGGTTCTCAATTCGAATGTATGTTTTTTTTGTATGTATGTTACGCGATAACTCCGGTATTTGTGAACCGATTTTCATGATTCTTTTTTTGTTGGAAAGAGGGTGCCACCATAGTGGTCCCATTTCATTTTGAAGAAAATCATCCACCTCGAAGGGTGGCTGTTCACGCATGAAGATTCATTTTTATAAATAGCGCCTAAATTTTAGTTAAGGAGCAATTAT